TTTAACCAATGAGTCATCGTGCCAGCCCAGATCCTAAACTTTCCACTCTCCTGGTTCAGCTTCCCAAGCAGATAGGGTTATAGGCCCGAGCCAGCGGGTCTCACTTGTTTGGATTACCCTGGGTTTTTGTTGCACTGGTTGGTCTTGAACTCTTAGACTCAGGTAGTCCTGATGCTCAGCTTCTGATGCAGCAAGGGCCACAGGAATGCCCATCACTGCCCAGGTAATCTATAGCCACCTTTCTATCCTGGAGTTGGCTTGCTGTCTGCGGATTTACCTTTCTCTCTGTTCCAGTCGCTGCTCGGTACAGCAGACGCTAGACTCACCAGCCACCTCCCAGCAGCTCTACCCATTTTCACTTGATTTTTGGTTTGTTCTGAGGAAAAGTCTCACTGTGTAGCCCTGGCTGTCCTAGAACTTGCTATGTAGAACGGGCTGGCCTTAAATCCCAGAAATCCACCTGCCTCTTTACTAAGTGCTGGCAGCAAAGGTGTGCGCCACCATGCTCAGCCACATCTGCTAGCTTTAGAGGAAAAGCTTTAGTCAGGCCCTTCCAACTCATCTGCCAGTGAAACCCTAGCAGTTTCTTTATTACTTGGCTCCCAGTTCCTGTTAGGCTCAGAGGGCCTGTCACTTCTGCACACTCAGTAGACAGTATTCACACAAGGACGCTCATCATTTTTTGAGACATAATTTTTCATAATTTGTGTTTTCATAATTTCATTATTTTTGAGACAGGGACTCTTGCTAAGTTATCCAGGCTGGGTATGAATCTAAGCAGACATTGCCATTTTTGTTTGAGACAGGGTTTCACTATATAGCCCTGGCTGTCCTGGCACTCACTATGTACACCAGAACGGCTTTGACCCAGAGATCCGCCTGCCTCTGCCTCCCGAGTCTGGGAGTAAAGGCGTGCGCAACTACATCAGGCTTTTTTTTTTTTTTCTTTTTTAAAAGACAGGGTCTCACCAAAAATCCCTGCCTTGCCTGGAATGCACTCATTGGGTAAAGAGATTGCTGCCAAGTCTAAAGACCTGAATTCAATCCCTAGCAAAACAATATGGAAGGAGTGAACTGTGTGCCTTATGCTGTCCTTTAACCTCTACAGAGGCACATGTATGCACATAAATAAATCCAATTAAGAAAATTCTCACTGATATTCACAGAGAGCAGCATGGGAGGACTAAATGTGCTTCTCTTGTGTCTGAACCCACCTACCATCACACGGTGCACTCTCCCTTTCTGCAGGGTGGATCACCGCCTGCTCTAGTCACAAAGCTGCACGAGGAACTGCACTCAACACTCGCAGAGGACAGGAGAGGCCACAGGTGACAGGAATGAAGCAGATGGCAGAGAGCTAATGAAACAAACTCTGAGACCACGAGATACACGGACAGACATGGGCATGGGCTTAAGCTGGGGTGAAAGGGTGCCAGACACAGTCTGGAGAAAGAGGAGCCTGGCTAGCAATGTGCTGGGAAAACACTTCTGACACAGAACAAGAAGCACAGAGGTCTGGGGATAGTCCTGAGCGCTGTGGCCTGAAGAAGGGACAGAGTCACACACACTGATCCCAGCACTGGAGGGCAGGGGTCAACAGCAAGAATCCACAAGCTACAAGAGAAGGCATATTCTAGTAGCCTCTAGTAAACACTCAGTAAGAGCTGCTCCGAGACCAAGTTTTAGTTCAGTGTTAAGTTTTTAATTTTAAGCATTTATTTGTATGTCTGTGTGTGCTGGGCATGAGAGTGCAGTGGCCACGGAGGTCAGGTGAGGGTCTGAGCAGTGGAGCTATTGGTATAGAAGGCTGTGAACTACCTGGCACAGAGCTAATGGCAGGGACAGAGCAAGGCCTTTTGCAAGGGCCATATGCACTCTTCAGCACTGAGCAACCTCTCCAGTTCTATGATTGTCTCTAATTTGAGTGTACTATTACTGCGTACACGATGTGTGCATCTGCCTCAGCCAGCTTCTTTCCTGCCTTTATGTGGTCTCAGGGAATTGAACTCAGGTTGGTAGGCTTGTGTAGGAGCCATCCTATCAGCTCAAACTCAGAGGTGGCTAAACAGTGGAGACAGTCTGTAATCCCAGAACTGAAAAAGCTGAGGCAGGAGGATCATCCAGTGGGTTTAAGGCGAAGGCACAGAGACTGTCTTAACCTTAGCACCCAAGAGGGGGAGGCAGGAGGGTCACTCCCGTGGGTTTGAACCTAGCTTGGTTAGTTACTTTCAGAACAGCCTAAGTTACAGGGAGTCTATCTCAGCTTTTCCCACCCCCACCCCCTCCGCATATGGAGGTGTTGTAGCACATGCTTGTAGTCTCAGTACTCAGAAAGTGGAGGCAGGAGCATCACTGCAATAAGGTGCAGGCTAGCCTTTATTACATATTCGAGTTGCTGGACAGCCTGAGGTAGAGCGTGAGGCCCTGATTACCGACCCACTAGTCCACACCAAAACAAAACTACCGGGTAAGGTGTTACTGCGGGGCACTGTCACACAGCACTCGGGAGATGGAGGCAGGAGGGCCACCCTCTGATAGTAATTCGAGGCAAGCCTGAGCTATTATTATGAGACCGTCTCAGAAATGCAAAAAGGATGTGAAAGAATGGCAAGGGTCTCCAAGTAATTCCCTATGACCTACCTTCCAGGTCCACCCCGTGGCGCTGGGCCAGGTGAAGAACATTGTCCCCAACTCTGCCCCTCACGGGGATCCGCCGACCAGAGCGGTCCACGAAGATCACGTTGACCCTGGGGACAGACAGGGTGCAGGCGCTGAGCCGAGGCCGGCCTGCGGCTGAGTGGCAGGGCGGGGCAAGGCGTGGCGGGCACTCACGCGTCCCGGGGCAGCTCCGGGCTGTCCGCCTCGTCCTCCCCTGCGCGCCGCTCTCCTGGAAAACACGAGTGGGTGAGCGGCTGCGGCCTCGCTGCCAGCCGCGGCCCGGCCTGGCCCTAGGTACCTGTACTCCGGAGAGTCCTGGATGTCTCTGCCCCGTGCCCAGTCCAGTTACCCCAAGATCCCCCGGCGGCCCGCAACAGGACCCGGGCACTCACGCCGCGGGCCATGGAGGCGGCCATGATAGGCCACGTGACCGGAACACCGAGCATGCTCAGTGACTATGCTGCAACTTTAACCGCAGCCGCATGAGGTCAGAGGTGATGTACCAGAATTCAGTCTGACTTCCGGCCTGGCCCTTTGATTTCCTAAGCCCCTTCACCCCCGCCTTAAGCCTTGTGTGTTCTGCTTGTATATATGAGCACCGAGAAGTGGGTGCCTGGTGTCTGTAGAGCCCAGAATCAGTGGGCTGTGTGGGTGTTGGGAACTGAAGTCCGGTCCTCTGCCAGAGCAACATTTGAGAGCAAACTCTTGAGCCCTTCTTGAGACAGGGTCTCACTCTGTAGGCGAGGCTGGAATTAAGTCTCTTTTTAAATCCATGCCCAGGTAAGGGTTTAAAGAAAAAAACATTTTTGGGGACAGCTTCTTTCTATATAGACTAAATTGTTGTGGAATTTGCTATGTAGACCAGTTTGACCTGGAACTCATTCTCTTGCCTCTGCCTCCCAAGTGCTGGGATTAAAAGCTATTGCCACCAAAGTCCAACTTAAATTTTAGAGACTGTGTGTGGGCACATGCTTGCCCATCTGTGTTACATGTGTAGGTCAGAGAACAACTTACGGGAGTCATTTGGGCCCCAGGGGTAAAACTTGGGTTGTCGGAGTTAGAGGTAGGTGTTGTTCCTCTAACACGGAACTATCTTGCTGGGCCCACAGTTTATCTCCAAGAACCAGCCAGCTCTGATTTTTTTTTAAAACCGTTTACTTACAAACTTTAATTCAGCAAAGGTCTGTGTGGGAGGAAGGGGGGAGGGGATACCCCCCTGGAGTGGGTTTGGGCCATCAGATTTGGGGAGGGAGGCTGGTGGCTCAGCTGGCCAGGGGCAAGATTCCCTGGGTCTCCTCAGGTGGGCAGGCTGAAGTAGAACTTGTATGTGTGGGCAGAGAGGAGGCCAGCTCCAGTGATCCGGCCTGGGGGTGGTGGTGGTGATCTGGGTTTGGAGGGACATGGCAGAGGCCCCGTGACCTGGGTACAATGGTCAACTTTTGCAGACAGCAGCAGGGACGGTTGAAGCCAGCAGAAAACACTGGTTTCTGTACTAAAGGGGTGGTTTGCCAAGACCAAGGCTTTGGCCTTCTGTCCACAGGGCAGACACCCTGGAGAAAGGACGATCCCTAGGTCAGAGCTCTTTGGTCCTGAGTCAAGCTTCCAGAGCCTGGCATCTGAGAAGCTCTGACCTAGTAGGACCTGTGGCCCAACTTTAAGGCATCAGAAGGCAAGAAGAGTATGGCAGGGGAGTGGAGATCCTAGGACTGGGTACTGGCCAGAGCAGGCAGGCAGGGGCATGAGACAGCTATACCTGCAGCAGATGATTGAGAAAAGAGAACAGAGTTAAGCTGTTGGAAACCCAAAGTGTGGAATGGAGGCCCAGGTAGGCCAGATCCTGAAGGAATCAAAGTTGGGGCTTTCCTGGGGTGAAGGGTGGATGTGGTCATCATCCTGGTTGTCTTAAAAAATAAAAATTAGAAAATGAAATCAAATTCAATTGTCTAAGTTTAAAAAGGGGACTGTCCCTGATCCTCACAGGTCAAGGACACCTCCAAAGGCACTCGAAAGGCCAGAACACAGGAGTGACGAGGCAGGCGAGGAAGCCTGGAGAGCCGGGCACAGGAGACCAGGAGTTGGGGAAGGAAAGAGAGCAGGCCAGGCCCCTCTCTCTTAAGGCTGCAGGGTTTTGACTCCAGGAGCAGGCCCACAGGTAATGGTGTGGCCCCCAGACACCCCTACATTCCTTGAGCTCCTGCTGGTTGGTCAGCAAAGTCTTTTTCAGAGATTTCTCTATTACCCAAAGAAAGGACATAAAAAATAATAATAAAAATAAAATCCCACAAAACACAAATACCAGAAAAAACCCAAAAGCAATTTGGTGCAGGCCCTTGGAGCATCTCTGGCGCCGACCCCTTAGAAAATCCTCTTCCGCTTCAGGTAGGAGTCCGCGTAGTGGCCACCGAGGCCCTGGGAGTGCTGACCCACGTAGCTGCCCTCTGGGCTGGGCTCAGGCGAGGGCAGCAGGTGGGAAAAACTGCGTTTCTGGCCGCCCAGTGGGGTCTGGAGACAGATGGCAGGGGAGGCTGGGTCAGGGGCCTCCTAAGGGTCGGGGCTCCCCAGCCCTGAGCCTCCCCTCCCCTTGCCCGTACCTTTAGCAGGTGGCTGTGACCGTTGGGCCCAGGGCCAAGGCCCAGGAGCCCTTCACTGGAGCCCATTGGGGAGGAACCAACCGCCTGGGGAAAATCAAAGAGGTGGGACAAGTCACCCCTGGGGGAAATCTTGAGTATAATTCCAGCCTTGTGTCTGCCACACAGAGCTACAAGAACTGGTGGTAATTAAACTGTTTCTCCTCTGTCCTCTGGGGGTAAGACCACCCACATCTTAGGTGAACTTGAGAGGAGGGGAAGCTGATCAGTGTTGAGCTCCACACAGCAGGGAGTCAGAGCAGACCACTGCCACTTGAGCAAGCAAGACTGAGCCCTGCCACCAATGGAGCCAGACCTGAGGCACCTTGGGTGACAAAACCCTAGAAATAGACATAGACACACAGGACCCAGTCCTCAGTGGGCCTGGCTTCTTACCTTATTGAGGTGGCTCTGCTTGAGGCCAGCCTGTAGGCCACTGGTGAAGTAGGAGGTGGGTGAACCAGAATAAAAATGAGAAAGGGATCCCCCAGTGCCTCCACCACTCCGAGGCTCATTGAAGCTGCTGGGTGGCGGGGACATCTGCAGAGAAAAGTTCAGCCTAGTGAGGAAGATAACAGTGAAAACCCTACCCCACCATGACCTGGCTTGATCATGGTTATCTTTGAGGACCTATGGAACCACCTACTGCCCCAAGGTGAAATATAAACTCTTGAGCCTAGAGATTTGAGTTGGGCAACAGCAAGATTGCCTCAAAAGTTTGTGAAGTCGGGCAAAGGTGGTATATGCCTTTAATCCCAGCACTCGGGAGGCAGAGGCAGGCGGATCTCTGTGAGCTCAAGGCCAGCCTGGTCGACAAAGGGAGTTCCAGGACAGGCTCCAAAGCTACAGAGAAACCCTGTCCCGAAAAAACAAAAAAACAAACAAAAAAAAAAAGTTTGTGGAGTTCAGCTATGTTCAGTAACTTCAGTTACACAGCTAGTGCTGACCACAATATTCACTGTGGGATACTGAGGCTGCAGAACATGGCCAGTGTCTTGACTCTTACCTTGTGTCGGCTGGGTCCATGAGGCCCTAGGGCTGGCTCCCGAGGGTGAGAGAAGAGCCGTCGAGGTCCCATATCCTAAATTAAAGGGACAAAAGCATGGGGGGGGGGGGGCCTGTTGGTGTTTGCCATCCTTACCCTGAGTCAATTCCTCACAATTTAACACTAGGGATCCAATCCATGACCCACAGTTGGGCCTGCATGGACTTCAGTAGGATAGGGATAGCACACCCAACCAGGTGTGTACGTGAGCTCCAGGATGGTTGTATTGAAATGACTGTATTGTCTAGGGAGAAAGCATGCCCTGGGACTTAGGCTACACTTAAGTACCAACCCAGCTAGCATGTATGAAGGCTGGTTTTCCATCCTCAGTACCACATAGACTGGGTGTGATGGTGAATGCCCAAGATCCCAGTACTGGGTAGTAGAGATAAGAGATAAGTCATGGGGGGAGGGGAGGCAGAGAAAAATGTATAGCTCGATTAAAAAACAAACAAACAAACAAAAAAAACCCCAACATTCAGAGCCATCTCAGCTATTTAGTGAGTAGAGGCCAGCCTGGGCTACATAAGTCCTGTCTCAAAAAAAAAAAACAACCCCAAAAAACAAAAACAAACAAAACCCAGTAAAAAGCCAGCAAGGTCTAAAGTCTAAAAGACGGACATGGACAGGAGACTTAAGAAAAGGGAATGTGTTAGCCACAAGCTCCTGACTGCCCGCCCACCTGATACTAGCTTTTTACAGAAGTGTCTGTAAACAGGAGTATTTCTGACTCGAGTTGCCTTGGATTTTGAAATACCCATAAAGGAAGAAATGTGGAGGGGGAGGTCCCCTAAGTCCAATGAGAGAAATTCACCAGTGTCTCAGGTGCAATTCACACCGGTTTTTTTTTTTTTTTTTTTTAGCTTTTTCGAGACAGGGTTTCTCTGTGGCTTTGGAGCCTGTCCTGGAACTAGCTCTGTAGACCAGGCTGGTCTCGAACTCAGAGATCCGCCTGCCTCTGCCTCCCGAGTGCTGGGATTAAAGGCATGCGCCACCACCACCTGGCAAAAATTTCGTGCCCATGTGTTGCCATGTGTAGGTGAGGACAACTTGTGAGAGCAGGTCCCCTCTACTGTGTGGGACCAGGAACGGATCTACAGGCTTGGAGACAAGCACCTTTGCCAGCTGGGAATCTCACCAGTTCACACCTTCATTTTAATTTTGTTTTTCAGTCTCATGTAACTGGGGCTAGCTTTGAACTCCTGATCATCCTGCCTCCACCTCCCAGTCAGTGCTGGCACAGCGCCCAACTGACAGGATATGGCCTGCTTTGTCCTGTGACCTACCATACAAGGTCAGATGTGGAATGTCCCACCTTATTTTCTAGTTTTGGGCCTGTTTGTTCATGTGTTTGGACACATATGTATGGAGGACAGAGGATGACATTCAGGATCTTTCTCCACCTTGTTCACTGAAGTAAGGATCTCCACTGGTACCCACTCATCTAGCTAGCCAGCTCCCTCCAGAAATGCTGTTTCCACCTCATACTCACTGGACTAGAGGTAAACTGCCATGCCTGCCTAGCTTTTACACTGGTTCTGAGGATCCAAACTCCAGCCCTTACACACTCTATATACTGAACCACTGATTGGCCAAACCCTGTCCCCCTTTTAGAGACAAGATATCACTATGCAGCTATGGTTCATCTGCAATATGCTGTGTAAACCAGGCTGGCCTTGAACTCAGAGCAATCTTCCTACCTCATGAGCAAACCCAGTTGAGACAGGGTCTCTCCACTGGCCTGGAGTTTACCTACTGGACTAGCCCTCTTCAAAACTGGGGTCACAAGCATGCTAGTCCTCCTGGCTCTTTTTATGTGGCCTCTTAGAATAAGACTCGGGTCCTCATGCCTATCATGTTTTGGATGTTTGGACCAGGGAAGCTCACCCTGCATGGTTTGTAGATGGACATGCTCTTCAGGTACAAAGGGCCACCCCCGAGACAGGCAGAATACAGGGCAGCCTGGTACTCACCGAGGGGTAATCAAAGCCATAGCTGTCAGGCAGTCCTGGCTCAGGGGGCAGGCGGTTACTGGCAATGGGGCTGAGCAGGCGGGACTTCATTTGGAAAGCTTTGCTGCCACTGTTGTTACCATTGCCTCCACCAGGAACTGCAGGACTGGGCAAAGGGGGTTCAGCCGGGCGACGGCCTCTCCCTGAGCCTCCCCAGCCCCGGGTCTCCTTGCCTGCCAGGTTACTGGATGGAAGCAGGCTATGTAGATTCAGGTAGGGGTTCAGGGGGATGCGGTAGTCCTTTGGGGGCTCCCCCAACAGTGACACCTGTAATAGGAGGGTTGGTTTTGCTAGGGCCCTGGGCAGAAGGGACCTCAAAGGGAAGGGAGGCTGGAAACAGGGTGGTACCTTACCCCAGGGGGCGTTGGCAGGGGCCCACTGTCCTTCGGGAGGCCTCTGAGACTGGAGCCTCGGAGCCCCACAGGGGCTGGAGGTGGAGTGAGCTGGGATGCTGGGGGACCCAGACTCATGGGCTCCCGGTCACCCCCAGAAGGGCCCAGCAGTGGTGGTAGTAAGGGTTGTGGCTTTCCTCGGCGGGGTGGCAGTTCTGGGGCCAGGCCCCCCCCTAAAGAGAGAAGGAAGGTGTCAGCTAAGGGCCCAGACCTGAAGAGACAACTCTACCCATGGTCCCGGGACAAGGAACAACCCTGTGTCCTACAGGTAGTTAGTGACTCAAGGTCTCTTTGGACATCAGCATCCTAAGACATTCCCAGCTGCCCCATGAGGTGGGCACCAAGACAATAGGAGAATGACCCAGACAAATTAGGTCACCTGTCTAAGGCTACACAGAATTCACTGGGGAAGCATCTCTAGAGAAGTGGGTGGCAGGATCCAACTTTACCTGCAGACAGCTCCCCAAGGAGAGAATTGGCAGGTTGGGCCCCGGCCTGGAGAGTACCTAGAGGTGAGTCTCCTAGGATCCCAGGCTTCTAAAACAGAGTACAGTCAGCTGGAGGTGGGAACAGTGTGGTCTGGACAGCAGACACGGGCCATCCACAGTCCTGGCAGTCACAATACCCAGCACCACCAACTCCCAAGTTAAGCACAGGCAGACACACACGGATCCCTCCAGCAACCCTAATCCTACTTATGTGGTCTATAGGCTCCTGAATGCCAGTCCTTGTTCTATCCACTGGGGATTATGTGGGAAATACTGAGCATGTCAGGGCTGTCACTCCACTTTCTACCATGGTCACACAGACACAATGACAGTCCTTAGCACCCAGCATCACAGAACAAAGCTGACCAAGGGTAACTACACCCCAAATGCACAAGGTCAGGCTTTCTTAGCACATTCATTTTGGAAACAGATATGGATGTCCTGGCCACCAGAGCAGACATCTCTCCAGAGCAGGGGGAAATGTAACTTCTGACATAAGGGATGGTCTAGAAAAGGCGCCTGGTGGAATAGCCTTCACCGTGAGGCTGTTACCTTTTGGCTCTGGGTTTGCAGAGCTAACTGGAGCAGCGCAGTGGACAGGGCAGGTCCACTGAGCAGTGGCATGGCAGGGGGCGCACCCAAAAGGCCTGGAACGAGACATGGATGCCTTGTGATAATGCACCACCCAGCACAGCCCCGAATTTTCAGAAGTGATGGATGGGCCTGAAGGATCCAGGCAGAGAAGGGTGGGTCTTTTTCTGATGCAAGTTCCACTCCCCTTAGGGACCTCCATGCTCATGTCAGATACTGACATAGGAGGAGTGGTCTCTGCATGATACCCCTACAAACGTGTGTGGCCCATCTTACCCTGCTTGCCACTGGCACCTCCATGCAGCAGAGGATTGAGCAGCAGCTGGAGGGAGGCAGATGGGCCCAGATTGTTCAACAGCTGCAGGATGTTTGGCTCAGGCAGGAGTCCCTTGCCTCGATTGAGAGCCTGAGGAGGGGATCAGAGGAAGGTTCAGAGCAGAGGCCACAAAGGGGAGACATTGGTGTCCAAGGGGTACCCCTACTCACCGTGGCCTGGGCAGCAATGAGTGCTGCCAGCATGCTGCGGCCAGGAGGACCTGGAGCACAGAAGGACACACGAAGGTGACTGCCACCCAGGGCCAGGCCATCTGCCCGCTGTTGTGCAGCCTCTGCCATCTCTGCTGTCTCATACTCCAGTACTGCAAAGCCCTTCAGCTGCCCATCCTGGCCACATGCCAGCTGCGGGAGATGCACTTATTAGCACCAGGCAAGAAACCATAAAGACCAGGCACTGACCGCAAGAATTGACAGTGAGCCCTTGGAAAGGGTGACTACTTGCTTCTCACTGTTCCCAGCCTTGTGCCCATTATCTGGCCACTAAATCTGTGCAGTGGCTATAGGAGGCCCTAGAAGGTCAGCTTGCCCAAGGCCACAGGGCAGAGATAGGACCCACCTCAACCGAAGTCACTGTGCTGGTATTTGTGTTGACATGCTGGGAACCAATTCTGACGGGAACATCAGGAAGTAAGGATGGCTGCAGAGTGTGCCCTGAATACATACCTTGGGCCATAGATACCATGGCAGGGGACTGACTTGGGAAGAGGCACCCAGGCCTGCCAGGTAGCCAGGGCCCACAGGCTGGCTATTCAAGGCTGCTACCTCCAGGTGGATGTGAAGGTCACAGTGCTAGTGCAGAGAGGTTCTAATCACAGGCAGAGCTGTGTCATTATACCAGCTTCTTCCATAGCAGCCCTGTCAGTGGTTGGGTTTATATCCCCCCATCTAGAAGCTCATACTGGGTGTGTTCCAGCAGTGAGATTGGATGGAAGCCAGACTGGTCCAATGCTGCCAATAATGTAATGTAAAATTCCTATTAGACAGGATCTCACTGTATTGCTGGCTAGCCTGAAACTCATAAACCAGCATGGCCTTGAACTCACAGGTACCTGCCTACCTCTGTCTCCTGAGTTTTGGATTAAAGGCTTATGCCACCACACCCAGTCCTTCAAGAAAATAGGTTTTTGGTGTTTTATCTCTCGCTAGTGTACAACGAAGGATAAGTGTTCTCTATCCAGTCTTCATTCCTTTGAGACAGGCTCTCTCCCTGAACCTGGGGTTCACATTTTCTGGGCTAAGCTGGAAATCAGCAAAGAACCTTCCTGTCTTTACCTTCAGTGCTGGCTGGCTTTATACAGTAAGACACTATTTTGAAAGACTCTGTCTCAGAAAGAGAAAAGGAATATGGGAGGAAAAAAGGATGGGAGAAAAAGGCTACATATGTTGGCATTCCCTGTAACCGTAGCACTTTGTAAACATAAAGTCAAAAAAGTTAAGAGTTCAAAGCTGGCGTGGACTACATAGCAAATTTCAAAATAGTGTTTGCTACATCATGATAACTTCTCTCAAAAGAAGTAAAATATCAGCCCTTGCTCTGCCAAAAAATAAAAAGAAGCCACTAGGTGGTGGTGGCGCATACCTTAAACCCAGCATTCAAGAGGCAGAGACAGGAGGATCTCTGATTTTAAGGCCAACCTGGTAACACAACACTAGTTCTAGAATAGTCAAGGCTGTTACACAGTGAAACCCCAAAACAAACAAACAAAAAAGCAACTTAAGTCAGTAGAGCTAGAGAGATGACTCAGCAGGTAAGCACCCAAGTCTAGGGGGCTGGAGAGATGGCTCAGCAGTTAAGGGCATTGCCTGCTCTTCCAAAGGTCCTGAGTTCAATTCCTGGCAACCACATGGCGGCTCACAATCATCTGTAATGAGGTCTGGTGCCCTCTTCTGACTTGAAGGCATACATGTAGACATAATATTGTATATATAATAAATAAATTAAAAAGAAAAAAAAGACCCAAGTCTAGTTCCCAGCTCCCAGAGAAGCCAGGCAAGAAAAACAATGCGAATCGAAGCATAGATGGGCACAGTAAACATGTGACATGTCCCCACGCTGTTCTCAGCTGAGAAAGACTGTTCCTGAGTGTATTTCCACAGCAACTCTCCTGCCTGTGTGCATAGGCAGGTGAAGCCCTCACCCAGTTTTCTTACCTTTTTTAAAAGATAGGGGGTCTCCCTATGTAGCCCAAGCTGACCCTGAACAGAGAACTTCCTGCCTCTACTTCTGCAGTGCTAGGATTTAAAACCATATATCACAGCCTGGTTTGGTGGCGCACGCCTAATTCCAGTACTCAGGAGGCAGAGTCAGGTGGCTCTCTGTGAGTTCAGGACCAGCCTGGTCTACACTGTAAGGTCCTGGTCAGTCAGGGCTATGTAGAAAGACCTTGTTGGAAGAAGTGTGTCACTGTGGGAGTGGGCTTTGAGTCCCCGTATGCTCAAGCTACTCTCAGTGTCACAGTTCACTTCCTGTTGCCTTCTGATTAAGACGTAGCTAGTACTATGTCTCACCATGACAACGGACTAAAACTAAAACAGAAACCTACCACCTCAAGTACATGGTTTCCTTTATAGGAGTTGCCATGGTCATGGTGTCTCTTTACAGCAACAGGAACCCTAACTAAGACAGATATCACCCCCCCTTTTTTTCTTTCTTTCTTTTTTTTTTTTTTTTTTTTTTTTTTGTTTTTTGTTTTTTCTGTAGCTTTGGAGCCTGTCCTGGAACTAGCTCTTGTAGACCAGGCTGGCCTCGAACTCACAGAGATCCACCTGCCTCTTCCTCCCAAGTGCTGGGATTAAAGGCGTGTGCCACCACTGCCAGCTAAGACACTTTTAATATTTAGCTTCTCTAGGCAAAGTACTGTGATGCATGTCTTTAATCCCAGCACTTAGGAGGCAAATGCAGGTAGATGTCTAAGTTCCAGGCTAGTCAGGGCTACAAAGTAAGACCTGTTGCCAGGCAGTGGTTTCAGAGTTTGAGGCCGGCCTGGTCTACAAGAGCTAGTTCCAGGACAGGCTCTAAAACTACAGCGAAACCCTGTCTTGAAAAACAAAAACTAAACAACAACAACAAAAAAGGAGACCTGTCTAGAAAAAGGGTATTGGAGGACAAGAGAGAGACAGACCAAGGTGCAGACAGATGGACTTGCTGAGCCCTGGCTTGCTGCTGGGAGCCCACAGAGGATCATGAAACCGTTGATGAGGGCTAGGGCTGAGCAGGTAGAATACGTGTCTAGAATGCAGGATGCCCTAGGGAATTACAACCCCTGCACCACATAAACCTAGCATGGTGGAGCATGCCCTACTTTTTAAGTAGAGCCAGGATGATCTGGAATTCAAGTTCATCCTTGCTACATACCAAGTTCAGGTCAGTATGGGCTACATGAGATGCTGCCTCAAAAAACAAAATAACGAACAAACATAAGCCAGGCGGTGTGCCACCCTACCCATAATTCTGGCATCATGAGGTTTAGGCAAGAGGATGTTTTTTTAGGCTAGTCTGGGCTACATGGCATAAGTACTGAGTGGAGCAGGACTCCCACCCAACTTACAATGGATGAGCTGAGGATTGCATTCAGAACTTTGCAACACACTTGGGCTCTCAACCACCATTCCCCGGACCCTCTCCCAAGAGCTGCATTCAAAACTGTGACGGCTCCATCAAAGGGCCCAGTACCTACCTGACAGAAGGTGGGGGTATAGACCGCTGACAGTGCCTGGCGCAGGGCATCCACATCATTGAAGCCAGGTGGCAGGTGGTCCACACAGAGGCACCGGGAGTGCAACAAGGCAGGGGTCAGCTGCCCAGCATCTGTCCAATGCACATACAGTGTGCGGGGGCCCAGTGGCTTACCCAGCAGATCAGACTTGGCCCTGGCAGCCGAGTCTTTCTTCATGTACTCTGCAAAGCCATAGCCCTTAGAGTGACCTGTCCGCTCACTGTACACTAGGAAGCAGCGCTCCAGGCTGCCAAAGGGCCGCACCAGCTCTTCAAACTGTGCCTGGGTCAGGCTGGGTGGCAGGTTGGCCACACACAACAGAGCATCTGTAGGCTGCAACTGAACTGACAGCTCCCGCTCTCGAAGGCGGCTCTGGTGGAAGGCGTTGATGGCAGCTTCAGCCTGCTCTCCATTCAGCAGGGTCACTAAAGCTGCAAGGCACAAGAGGACTTGAGGTCAGAGTGGACTTCTGACTCCCTAGCCGAGGCCCTCTAACTAGTAACACATCAACTGCCAATGGCAAGAACAAACTGGCCAGCTGGAGCCTTGCATTTCCACCAGCTCCTGTCCCTGACATCTCCCCAGAGCAGTTCATAACCTAAGCAGTTATTCACTGTGCACATGGCTCTGCCAGTGTGTCACTCAGGTGACATCCAAGTTAATGGTTACCTTAGCTGTCCTGCAGTTCTTTGTAGAGCTCAGAGATCTGCTCACCTCTGCCTCTAGAGTGCTGGGATTGAAGGTGTGCGCCACCACTGCCTGGCTTTTAAGTTGTATTTTATGTGAATGCTTGCCTGCATGTATGCCTGGTGCCTGTGGAGGTCAGATGAGGGTGACAGATCCCCTGTAACTGGAGTTACAGATGCTTGTGACCTACCCTGTGGGTGCTGGGCACTGACCTGGGACCTCTTAAAGAGCAACCAGTGCTCTTAACCATTGAACCATTACTCCAGCCCCAAGCCCTTAAAAGTTCTGGCACCTCAACTTTCTCATCTGTCAAATGAGAACAGGTTAACCCTCACATCTACCACTTTTGGTAGAATAAACAGGCCCAGATTAGCAGCCCAAGAGCCAGGTTGTGGGTGGGGAATAGCAGCACAGGTCTGTGATCCCAGCATTTGCAAGACTGGGGACAGAGTTCAAAGTCATCCTGGGCTATCTAGTGAGATTCTGTCTTAAAAACTCAGGGCTGGGACTGAAAATAGAGCTCAGTTGGTAGAGTGCTTGCCTAGCAGGTATGAGGCCTTGAGTTCTGTATAGACCATGTGTGACAGAGCAGACCTACTTCAGTGTTAGACTGCAGTAGGAGGATCAGAAATTCAAGGCCATCCCTGACTACCCGACTGAGAGTTGGGGATGTAGTTCAGCATTAAGAATATTCATCTTTAGCACCACACAAGAGGCCAGCCTGCCTCTAATGGCAGCATGGTCTACAAAGTGAGTTCCAGGATAGGCTCCAAAGCTACACAGTGAAACCCTGTCTGGAAAAATCATTAAAGAGAGAGATCAGGACTAGATAATATCTACAGTGGAGCACGTTTCTGGTGTACGTAAGGCCCTAAATTTAAGGTCCAGCATCACACTCACACACCGAGCCCTCACAAAATCAAGAAAAAAAAAGTTAAAAATACAGGCTGGGCAGTGGTGGCGCACGCCTTTAATCCTAGCACTCAGGAGGCAGAGGCAGGCGGTTCTCTGTGAGCTCGAGGCCAGCCTGGTCTACAAGAGCTAGTTCAGGACAGGATCCAAAGCTACAGAGAAACCCTATTTCGGAAAAACAAACAAACAGCACTCCATAGCCAAGGAAACTGAGCTTCTGATCCTCTAGCCCAACTCTCAAGTGTTGGTTCTTCTCCACAATACATTGTCAGAGATGGTTCTAGATGTTCTTCACACCTGGTCCAACGCTGGGAAGCACAGACATGCACTGATGCCCTCACACAGGAGACCAACACTACCAAGTCTTACCCTATGGACCTAGGGCTGACCATTCCATGCGTGTGCAAATGTGCCAGCCTCAGCCTACAGTGACAGAGTGGAGTGGCCAGTGGGCCTGGGTTATGAAGGGACACAAAGGACAGTGCTGGAGCCGAGTACAGTGATACACGACTCTAGTCTGGTTTATGAGACTTGATTTAAATAAAACCAAAACTGGAGCTGAAGCTATGCCTCTGTTGTTAAGAGCACTTATTGCTCTAGCAAGGACCTGGATTTGGTTCCCAACATCTACATGGCAGCTCACAACCTTCTACAACTTTGTTTCCACAGAATCTGGTGTCCTCTTTTGGCCACCATGGGCACCAGGCATGCAAATGGTGTGCAGGCAAAATACCTATACACGTTAAATAAAGATAACTTAAAAACAAAATAAAAAAAAAAAAAAAAAACCCACAAAACCCAAAGGAGTGGTAGAAGCTAAGGATTACTACTAAACATTTCATGTTTGTTGGGGCTACCTCAAGAACTCCAGGACAACCTGGGCTACAGAGTAAGTCCATGCAACCTGGGCTACTGGGCTAAAGATTAAGTCCATGCCTTAAAAAAAAGGAAAAATAAGGTTGGGTAAAGGAGCCTGCTGCCATGCCTAACCAACCACCTGAGTTCCATTCCCAGACTCTCGTGAGTTTATGCATACTCTTGTATGCACCTATAATCCTCGAACTTCCACTTTTGTTCCTCGTGTTCACACCTACACACACTAAATAAATAAATAAGCTGCAATGAAGGTGATCTCTACAGACCAAGGCCAACCTGATCTACTAGTGACGTTCAGGTCAGCCAGGGCTATATAGTGAGGCCCTGTCTCAAAAAATTAAATTGAGGGCTGGAGAGATGGCTCAGTGGTTAAGGGCATTGCCTGCCCTTCCAAAGGTCCTGAGTTCAATTCCTGGCAACCACATGGTGGCTCACAGCCATCTGTAGTGAGGTCTGGTGCCCTCTTCTGGCCTGCAGGCTTACACACAGACAGAATATTGTATGCATGATAAATAAAAAATATTTAAAAAAGAAGTGTTTAAAAAATGTTTAAAAAAAAATTAAATTGACAGCCAGGACAAGGATCAGACAGGAGTTCCTGTTGAGTGCATCCGCTAGGACAATATTGGACCCACAGATCAGGAGAATAAATGCTGAGCCAGGTCCCTCCTGTCACCACTGGGGACTGTCATCCTTGCCCTGGTCCACCCATGGCCCACAAACCTGTCCCTTTGTATTTGTCCACGAAACAGTACTTGAGTTCGTAGTCGCTCAGAAGATCGTGTACTTCCTGCAGAAACACAGAAGCCAGGAGTCACTAGCCAGGCCTGCCTGTAGGTGGACCCGCCATACATGTAGATAAACGAATATCTGCATTTTACTGTAACAACTATCTTCTACCCAAGGCTGTGCAAGGCAAGGCTGAAGACTACATTCTAAGAACACCAACAACTCAAACAAATGCCTTCAGGGAAGTTACCCAACTTGTCTGATTCCCTATGGAAGGTCCCAACAATTTTGCAGCTAATCACTTATCCATTTTGTACACAAGGACACTGGGGCTCTAATAGGCTAACCACACAAGTTATCAGGCCAACAGGAGGCATGTTACCTGGGATATCTGAACAGGGACTCCATGCACTAAACGACCATACACCGTGTGGTTGGTTGCACAGGCCACCCAAACTCCCTCATGTTGACAGGGCCGCTGTTAACAAATCCTGGATTCCTGGGCAAGTTGCCCAGCCTGCTTGCACCTGATGACCTATGTTTGAGCCCAATGAGATAGGGCAGCAGTTCCAGACATGCAGCAGACCATGCACACTGGTGTCTACTCCAGGTCTGTCCCCATATCATGTTCCCCACACCTCTGGAGCTGCAACAGTCATGTGCCCACACAGGAGTAGGAACTAGGGTGAGCCAGTGAGCAGATTCTTAGCAGCAAGGAGAAAGGGCCTATCCCACCACCACCAGGCAGGGCAACATAGATACCACTTTCTTGGGTCCAAAGAGCACTGCACGCCCTGCTCCATGTAGGTTCCCATGAGAAGGGCACTCCCGGCAGACAAGATTAGCCATAGGGAAGTGCCACAGCACACACCATTCCACCGCCACCCCACACCCAGCCGGTTCCCATCGAAGGGAGAAGATTTTATTTTTTCAAATCAAAATTAAAGGCGTGGTGGTGCACGCCTTTAATCCCAGCACTCGGGAGGCAGAAACAGATGGATCTCTTTGAGCTCATTGCCAGCCTGGTCTACAGTGCTAGTTCCAGGACAGCTAGGGCTGCTACACAGAGAAGAATCCTCTCTTGAAATAGAAGCACTATCAAATCAATTCTAGTAGGCCTTTCGAGGGATGCAGCTCCAACTTCCGGGTCTACCTCTTAAAGGTGTAAAATCATCCTTGATGAGAAAGGCCGTATTCTAATCCTGAAATCCAGATCTGAGCTCCTGCCACCCGATGGCAGAATAGGGAAAGTACTCCCTCTAAGTATGCGTGGGCCAGCTGGATTCTCTACTTCAATCAATCCATTCAGTCCCCCGTACACAATTCAGTAAGGCCACAGCTGCCCGCCCCCTGAAACTACCGGCCCCCTTCAAACACTTGGTCTCGCCCAAGCCCGGTAGTCGCCCCTAGCAACGTTGGCCCGTAGTTGGGTTTTTGCCCTTCCTGACCATGCCCTTTCCACCTCGTTCTGAATGTCTCCCGAACCCGGGAGAGGATACAGTTATGGGCAAAGCCCGGGTACGCAGCAGCTTTGGTATTGCCTGGTAACCCCCTGCGCACGCGCACCGTGGTATTTCCCGCCACGCTCTCAGCCCCCCCCCCCCATACCTGGTTGGTCACGTCCCCCGGGAGGCCTCGGATCAGTATCTTGCGGCGGTTACGGAACTGGCGCTCAGTATGTTCCAGGCGTTTCCGGATCTCTTCCGGATCGAGCGGCGGCAGCTCTTGTTCAGGCGCTCGGCGATCGGCGGTCTCGGAAGTTTCCGCTTCGGCCTCCGCCTCCGGGCTGAGCGGCGGCCGGTGAGTAACGGACACGTCGGCCGCCATCTTGGGAAACCCGGCGCCTTCTGGGACCAGCGAGCTCAGGGCGGAGCGACATAGAGCGGCAAGAAGAGCGCGCATATTGATTGGTTGGTGGAAGTCCCGCCTCTATCCCAGCCCCCTTCAGCCTATTGGCTGGATCGAGTGCCGCTCTCCTCACCCATTACCCACCCACACTCTTGGCCATTGAGTGGAAGGGCGGAACTGCAACGAGGAGCTCTTAGAAGGCAGTGACGAAAATCCAGCCTAACCTGGCGGTGGTGGTGGCGCATGCCTTTAATCCCAGGCAGAGGCAAGCGGATCTCTGTGAGTTCGAGGCCAGCCTGGTCTACAAGAGCTAGTTCCAGGACAGGAACCAAAACCACAGAGAAACCGTGTCTCGAAAAAAAGAAAATGCATCCTATCCGCAGAATCGTTGAAAGAGCAGACGAGGCACACACCTTTAATCTAAGCCCTCGGTATGTAAAGACAGGCAATCTTCTGATGTCATATTATTCTCTCTCTCTCTCTCTCTCTCTCTCTCTCTCTCTCTCTCTCTCACACACACACACACACACACACACCACATACACACACCTTAATCCCAGCCCTCGGCAGGCAGATCTCTGAGTTTGAGGTCAGTCTAGTCTACAGAATGAGGTCCAGGACAGCTGGACAGAGAGAAATCTTGTTTCAAAGAAAGAAAAAAAAAAACCCCAAACAACAAAACCCTGGCATTGTCCCATCACTCTGAAGGCCTAGGCAGGTGAATCTGTGAATCCTGGCCAGCCTGGTCGACATAGGAAAACAGTCTCAAAAAAGTAAAAGTAAAAAAGCACCTATTGCTAAGCTTAGCAACCTGAGTTTGAGTCCCCATAGTACATGGAGGTGATGCTACAGATAGCTTAGGAAGCAGGCAGCATCGTGTGGTCGGGGTCCTAGAGACAGCCTAGGAAGCGGGCCGTATCATGTGTGGGGTGCTGGAGACAGACAGCCTATGAAGCAGAAGGCTAAGCAGTAGCTTGAGAAGGAGCTGGCAACGTCACAGCGGGAGAGAAGATGAGCAGCTCATAATGACAGACAAGGATCTCCAGCAGCAGAAAGCAGTTTCCAGGAGTGCATGGGCAAGTGCTAACCAATAATAATCACAAGTTTCTCAGACATTTTTCTGGATTCACTTACTGAAATAAACTGTTGTGGTTTTTTGTTTGTTTTTCAGAAAAAGAAATCAAACCACAAGCCATGCAATTTGAAGGTTTTATTGATGGAGAACCTGATACAGCCCAATCACCCATCAGTCTTGACTTAAGATTCCCCTAGCTCAGGACAACTCTTCCAGGACTATGACTTTAGACTGCAGTGGCCTGAGAGACAGAAAGGTGCTTGTGTTTCTCAAGTGGTAGCTGCCACTCTGGTTCTGCAGATGTACAGAAAAGCCACTGCAACAATTACTACCTGTTGGGGCAGGAACAACCCTATTATGATGCTGACCAACCCGGAGCTCTGATCTGCACAGAGAGACCCAAGTAAATATGTATGCCCTGGGGCTGGAGAGATGGCTCAGAGGTTAAGAGCACTGACTGCTCTTTCAGAGGTCCTGAATTCAATTCCCAGCAACCACATGGTGGCTCACAACGATCTGTAATGAAATCTGGTGCCCTCTTCTGGCCTGCAGGCATACATGCAGGCAGAACACTGTCTACATAATAAATAAATCTTTAAAAAAAAAAATATGTGTGCCCTGGGCTCCTGCTAAACTTCCACTGAGGAGCTGGCAGGGTCCCCTCTTACCTTGGATGTTAATCATTATGAGAATGATGTTCCTGCCCCTTGCCTTAGACTGACTGCCTGGCAGTGATAGGTGCCATTGTGGCTTATATTGACAAGGAATGGGGTCCTGATTGGGCACCTCATGTCTGGAGCCCTCATGCTGGGACTTTGGGGCTGCATTGCCCAGGGCATGGCAATTTAAGAGGTGGCTATAAGCACCTTGAGGTATAAGTGGCCAGACCCAACCCCCAGACAGCCAAGTTCTGCCCTACAAAGAAAGCTCAAGAATCCCACCAATTCTCAACACATCTTGGAAAGCCCCCCCCCCCACCCAGAAATTACATAAGCTTGTCTCAGTTCTTTCCTAATTGTCTCCTGAGCAAAGGCAACCACCCTCCTGTGCTTCTTCCAGTAAATCACTTGTGTGAGTTTGTTCTGCTGTATGATTTGTGGTATCACTTGGCTCCCAGCTGCCAGCATACCCTCCCCTCAGAGCTATAACACTGACAGTAGGTATTCCTGTCTTTCCGCACAAAGCACTAGGGACATTTAACACAGTCAGTCTTGGAGCCATCTGTAAAACAGCCATGTCATTCGACAGCCCAACACTCCCCGGAAGTGTAGTAGGCAAGGGACGAGACAGGGCATGGTGATGTACATTGTCATCCTGGCACTCAAGAAGTAGAGGCAGGGGCTAGACAGATGTCTTCTTTTCCAGAGGACCTGGGGGTGATTTCCAACATTCACATGGCAACTCAAACTTATTTTTTAAATTATATTATTATTATTATTTTATTTTTTCGAGATAGGGTTTCTCTGTTGCTTTGGAACCTGTCGTGGAACTAGCTCTTGTAGACCAGGCTGGCCTCAAACTCACAGATATCCGCCTGCCTCTGCATCCTGAGTGTTGCTGGGGCTGGAACATGGTCCCCTCGTTCAATTGCATCTTCACCAGCTTTCTGTGTTAGATGGTTTCCTTCACTGCCTAAGCATGGCTGTTCTGGAACCTGCTCTGTAGACCAGGTTCCCACAGGCGCCACCACTGTCCAGCTTTAGCTAGGGTTTTATTGCTACGAAGAGACACCATGACCATGGCAACTCTTTTACATCTTGGTCCTACAGGCAGCGGCAATGATGTGAGACTCTAGATGTGGCCTGCGCACAATGAGACCTCAAAGCCTGACTTCCGCCAACAAGGCCACATCCACTACAGCAAAGCCTAATAGGGCCACTCTCTTTGGGGCCATTTTCTTTCAAATCACCACGATGACTTAGGAGAAGATCTGATGTGGCCTTAGTCACACAGATAGTGTAGAGGTCATCTGAGCTATTAGCCACCTCCAGTCCTGGCTGTGTGACCAGGACTCTTCTTTTTTGAGACAGGGTTTCTCCGTGTAATAGCCCTGACTGCCCTGGAATGCACTTTGTAGAGCAGGCTGGCCTTGAACTCACCGAGGTCTGTCTGCCTCTGTTTACCAAGTATTGGAATTAAAGGCATACCACTGTCTGGAGAAAAAATTCCATGGTGTTCTGGTGCCAAAACCAAACCTGCAAGAGGCTCCACCTCAAGCCAGATTTTAAGATTCCCTGCTCTCTCGGGCTGGAGAGATGGCTCAGTGGTTAAGAGCATTGCCTGCTCTTCCAAAGGTCCTGAGTTCAATTCCCAGCAACCACATGGTGGCTCACAACCATCTGTAATGAGGTCTGGTGCCCTCTTCTGGCCTGCAGACATACACACAGAATATTGTATACATAATAAATAAACACAGATTCCCTGCTCCCTCCTGCTGGTCGTGATGCATACTTTTAACTCATAGTTTCAGCACTCAAGAGGCAGGGGTAGGCAGACGTGTGAGTTCAAGGCCACCCTGGTCTTCTGGGTGAGTTCTAGGCCAAGGCTACCCAGAGAAACCCACCTCAGAAAAACAAAACAACAACAACAACAACAAAAGATTCCCTGCTCTGAGTGGTGAATCCCGCCCGGTGGCAGCAGTCAGGGAGGGACTGAGGGCAACAGCTCAGGAGGCTGAGAAAGCTTCTGAGCAGCTTCTGAGAAGGCGGGTCAGCTGGGCTCAGTGGTCCACACCCCTTTGATCTTAGTGCTTGGGAGGTAGCATCAAGTTGTCTGTGAGTTTGAGGCCAGTCTGGCTTGCATAGACCAGGACTATATAAGACTCTGCCTCAAAAGTAAAATGAGAGCGGGAGAGGGAGCCCAAGAAAATACTTGAGGAGGGGGAACTTCTGGAAGAGGAGGAGAGGCGCTGAAGGCAGGCTTGGAGGATCGAGCAGTTTTGCCAAGTGAGCCAGAGCATTTTGGCAGAGGGGACCGCAGTGGTAGATGTGGGGTGTGTAGAGGCAATTGGGAGAGAGAAAAATTCAGGTGAGTAGACTCCACAAGCAGAGTGGGAGGCCAGGGAGCTAAAGCTTTCTCCTGGAGAGCCGTTTATCAGATCTGAGGTATTGGAAGACTTCCCAGTGACCAGAGTTGCAGGATGTGGGAGGTTCTGCTTTCTTCAACCCCTGAACCCCAGCCCTGCCCAGGGGACCATTCTCACCTAGGGACAGCAGATCAGCAACTGGAGGGGTGTCGTGGTGGCTAAACTGTGAGAGGAGGTGTCCTGTGAGCAGGGCAGTGGGGACAGCAGGGAGGCAGGCGGCGGAAGCCTGTGGACACGGTTTCACAGGTCCAGGTTGAATCTTATTTTGGAGGCCCTAGGATTAGGACCAGGGCCAGATGAGGACCAGAAAGTGGAGAGGGTTCTCAGTTGTACAGCTATGTCCCAAATGTGCCCATAGGAAATGCCGACAGAAGAGGCTGATCGCACGGAGTGTGTGTGTGTGGGGGGGGGTGCATCTTCCAGCACAGCTTAGGTGCAGTGGTGACTTCAGGGCCCAGACAGGAACTTCAAAGGAAGCGGCCACAATGACCTCAGGGACATAGGGGCCATTCCTTTTTCTTTTAAATCTAAACTTACAATGTAGAAAAGGCTGGTCTCAAACTTACAGCCATCTTCCTGCCTCTGCTTCCTGGGTGTTGGATTATAGGTAGGCACCACCATACCTGGTTTTTTTCTTTCTTTCTTTTTTTAAACTTATTTATTTATTATGTATACAATATTCTTTCTGCGTGTATGCCTGAAGGCCAGAAGAGGGCACCAGACCTCATTACAGATGGTTGTGAGCCACCATGTGGTTGCCGGGAATTGAACTCAGGACCTTTGGAAGAGCAGGCAATGCTCTTAACCACTGAGCCATCTCTCCAGCCCCCCTGGTTTTTTTCTATTGCNTTTTTTTTTTTATTTTTTTTGTTTTTTTTTTTTGTTGCTTTGGGGTGGGTTTTTTTGGAATTGAGATTTTTTTTTCTAATTTTTTTTTTTTTGTTTTTGTTTTTTTTTTTGTTTCTCTGTAGCTTTGGAGCCTGTCCTGGAACTAGCTCTTGTAGACCAGGCTAGCCTCGAACTCACAGAGATCTGCCTGCTCCATCTCCCAAGTGCTGGGATTAAAGGTGTGCACCACCATGCCTGGCTGCCTTTTTTGTTGTTATGTTTTGAGACAGGGTCTGGCTGTCCTAGAACTCACCATGTAGACCAGGCTTATGTTGAACCCACAGAGATCCACTTGCCTCTGCTTCCTGAATGCTGGATTAAAGATGTACGCCACCATTACCCAGCTTCTTTTCTCATTTTTTAAGTGAGGTCTCATGTAGCTCAGGCTAGTCTTGAACTGTAGCCTCAGCCTCTTCAGGGATGGAGTTACAGGTATGAAAACTCACTGGCTCTTTGGTTTTTAAGATTTAATCGTGTATGTATGACTGTGTGTGAGTGTGTGCACAGGAGTGCAGGTGCCCAGAGAGTCATGGTCTCTGGATATGGAGTTACTGCTGGCTGACAGCCAGCTGACATGGGTGCTGGGAACTGAACTCAGATCCTCTTTTTTTTTTTTAATATTTATTTGCTTATTATGTATACAATATTCTGTCTGTCTGTATGCCTGAAGGCCAGAAGAGGGCACCAGACCTCATTACAGATGGTGTGGGCTGGGAATTGAACTCAGGACCTTTGGAAGAACAGGCAATGCTCTTAACCACTGACCAGATCCTCTTGAAGAACATTGCACACCATTAAGCTGTCTCTACATTCCTATGACAGGCTTCCTTCTTATTCTCCCTGATCTCGTTGTGTTGGATGAATTGAGGTTGAGTGCCTGGACTCAAGGAACCCTGACTCAGCTTGCTGAGAGGTTCAGTCAACAGATGCAGACAGCATCCCCACAGGGGATTGAATGGAGTCTCACAGGTGGGGCCATGCTCAGAGTCCATAGGTGGAAGATTCTAGGCAGGGGCTCTACCACTAATCACGTTTAGCTCCTCACTGGGAGATTCTAGGCAATGGGAAATCTACTAATGAGCCATGCCTCTGTTATGTCCAGATCATGGGGTCCCCCAAAGACCACCAGAGTCGGCACTTGCATGTAAAAGGAAAGAGCCTTTAGTCACGCTTAAGCTTGGACCCTCGGTCTATTTGACACAACTGTTGAGAGCAGAGAGCGCCAAGCCAAGTCAGGGTAGGGCTTTGTTTTTCCTTTTTTTATCATAGTAGAGGTTGGGGTGAGGGGATTTCCAGGGTTCAGGACCCTGATTGGCTGACATTTGTCTAGGGGTCTTGGCAAAAGGAGAATAGGTGATTCCTGGGCTGAGGGACATCAGGTGATCTTACCTGGTGGTTGGAATGTCAGGTACTTCCCTTTAGATGCTGGCCTTCCCTGGACGGTGTCAGCTTAATGGATGTTCCTGGAACCCAGTGCTGCCTGCCAGGGCAGTTGTTCGGCCTGGGCCCCGTGTGTGGTCAGGCTGCCCTGGGCCTACACCTCCAGCTCCTTTTCTTCACCCACTCTCCTGTATCCTTGCTAACTAGCCCAGGTAGCCGCTCTCTTCTCCAGAGAAGGGCCCAAGGGTCCAGGTGGGCATTCCTCTCTCTCCCCCTCCCCCACCCCATCTCAGTCTTCTTTGGGCTTTCTGAGTCTCTAATTGAGAGGGACATCTGGTGGGATAGTGAACTGTAGGCTATCCCTGGCTACAAAGAGAAAGCCTGCCTCAAAACAGAGAGAGTGAGAGAAAAGGCAGGCCAGCAGAACGGCTTATCAGGTAAAGCCATTTGCTTCAGAGACTGATGGCCCAAGTCCCATCCCCAGGACACATATAAAGGCTTAAGAACCTACTCCTCAAATTGTCCTCTGACCTCCATTTGCTCACCTTGGAACAGATACAAAATAAAAAATAAATATCTCTCTCTCTCTCTCTCTGGTTTTTTGAGACAGGGTTTCTTCATAGCTTTGGAGCCTGTCCTGGAACTAGCTCTTGTAGACCAGGCTGTCCTTGAACTCACAGAGATCCACATATCTCTGCCTCCCAAATGCTGGGATTAAAGGCATGCTCCGCTACCACCACTGCCTGGCTAAGATTTATTTCATGTACATTGGGGTTTTGCCTGTATGTATGTCTCTGTGAAGGTGTCAGATCCCCTGAAACTAGAGTTCCAGGCAACTATGAGCTGCCATGTGGGTGCTGGGAATTGAACTCGGGTCCTCTAGAAGAGCAGCCAGTGCTGTTAACCACTGAGCCATCTCTCCAGCCGCTGTAACACGTTTTTTTAAATTTTAGTGCTTCTACGGCAAAATGGGAGCAGAGTTGGGAGACTCCTAAGAAGCTGTCAGGCTACTGAGCCCTGGATACACAGCAGTGATCAAGAGACACTATCTCAGACCAGGCATGGTGTCCCAGCACTCGGGAGGTAGGAGCAGGAAAATCGGTGAGTTCCATGGCAGCCTGGTCTACATGCTACATAGCGAGTTTCAGGATAGTTGGCTACATAGAGGGACCTTGTCTTTTGTTTTTTAAAAAAAGGAACGCTGTCCCCTGCCTCCAACAAGGCAAAAAGTTAGGACTACGCAACATTGTCACAGAAGCAGTACATCACATCCATGCACAAATCACATGCACACACACATGCACACAGCAGCACACACACATCACTCCTGCACACATCACATGTGCACAAGCACATGCATATTATTACATGCACACATTACACGCATACATTACTCATGCACACACACACATCTACACAAGCACACAGCAGTACATGCACACATCACACATGCGCACACACATGACTATTATCACACATGCACACATGCATTCAGAAATCACATGCGTGTGTACATCACATGCACACAAGCACATAGCAGCACATGCACATTGTCATATGTACACATCATGCATGCACACATCACGTGTGCAAACATCGCATGCGCTCACACACATCACACAAAAACATTCAGATTAAAGAATAACACTAGAGGGCTGAAGAGATGGTTCTGGAAGTTATCAGTACTGGCAGTTCTTCCCAAGGGTGGGGTTAGATTCCCTGCACCCTCAAGGCAGCTCACAACTGCCTGTAACTCAAGTTCCAGGGGATCTGCTGCCCTCTTCCGGCCTCATCAGGCATAAGGCATTTGTGTGGTACACTTACATATATGCAGGCAAAACTCTTGTACACATAATAAAAATAAATCAATCTTTTAAAACCTCTTGCAGGAGCTGGACAGTGGTGGCACATGCCTTTAATCCCAGCACTCTGGAGGCAGAGGTAAGCAGATGTTAGTGCAAGGCCAGCCTGATCTATAAAGTGAGTTCCAAGACAGTCAAGGCTGTTACACAGAGAAACAGTCTCAAACAAACAAAAACCTCTTGAAGTTAAAACCAAGGAAGTCTTGGGCACTCCCTGTGGAAGGAACCCTGCCCAGAAAGAAGTGAATAAGACAGGTGAACGCTGGCTGGCAGAATGCAGACAGACATGAAGCTGGCCTGCAGGACACCTGCGGCACACCTGGTTCCAACCACAAATAGGTTGTGATGGAAAAAAAGAAACTAGTGCAACCGAGAAACAGAAGGATTCTGAACCGGTGAGGAGAGCGGCTTGGCATGAGCAGGTCCCAGGCCTTTGGCAAAAATCCTCCATGCACCAAACTACAGCGGGCGAGTAAAGGAATGAGTCTTTGAGGAAATTGTCTTGGCACTGATGCAACAGTGACTTTGGTTTTCGGGACAGGGTTTCTCTGTAGCTTTGGAGCCTGCCCTGAAACTCCCTCTGTACAACAGGCCAGCCTCGAACTCACAGAGATCCACTTGCCTCTGCCTCCCAAGTGCTGGGGATAAGGCATGTGCCACCATTGCTCAGCAATAGTGATTTTTTTTAGGCAAGGTCGCACTCTCTAGTCCTGGCTGACCTGAATCTCACACAGACCTATCAGCCTCTGCCTTTTGAGTGCTGGGGTTAAAGGCGTGCCCCATTGAATTCAGCTCTCAAATTTTTTAAACAAGATTGTATGTGACTGGGCTTGGTGATATGACCTTGTCTCCTGGAGGCTGGGGCACTGAGGTAGTGGGGTAGCGAGTTCAATGTATCTTGACAGAACCTGGACTGACAGACATGGTGCCACCCTCTCATGGTACCAACACCCCCAGGCCATTAAACAGCAAGCAATGGCACATGTCCAGGACAGCTGCAGCACAAGTGTGCTTCCCGCTTTGCAAACTAGGCCATCCCTATGGCTTTATGTGGCTTAAGAACTCATTTCTGGCCGGGTGGTGTTGGCGGACACCTTTCATCCCAGCACTCGATCTCTGTGAGTTCTAGGCCAGCCTGGTCTACAGAGAGTTTCAGGACAGGCTCCAAAACTACAGAGAAACCCTGTCTCGAAAAACAAAAACAAACAAACAAAATTCCCTCATTATCCATTTGTGGCCCTTGGGACAGAATCTAGGGCCATATGCACAACGGGCAGGAGCTCTACCTCCGAGCACACCGCCCACAGCCCATCCTGCCTGCGAGGATGAAGAGCCATGTCTTTAGAAACCCTCGGGGAGGCAGTTATTTCTCTGCCGCTCACAGCTGCGTCCACTACTGCCTGTCTTGATCTCGTCTCTTCACCGCAAACAGAATGGCAATAAACATTTATTGAACACTTATCTGTGTCTCCTCCTAAGCAGTCTCAGCACACCCGTCAGTGCTCTCTCTTCATCAGTCCTATGAGGTAGAAAGGCTGACCATCCTCATAGTTGAGACATGAGGCCCAGAGATCAAGACATTTACCTGAGGTCACACAGTACCTCCATGTGTGACACATGGCCCTCCTGTGAGTGTGTAGGCAAGTGCATATGCAGGTGTGTGGCCATGTGTTTGTGCAGAGTTCGGGGGACAACTCTGGGTACTCTTCCTGGGGTACTGTCACACCCTGTTTGGAGGCAGGGACTTTCACTGGCTGTGTCACTGAACGGACTAAGCTGCCGGTCAGTGAGCCCAGGGAGCTTCTGTCTCTTCCTCCCCAGTACTGGGACAAGCTGGGAATTGAACTCACATCCTCATGCTTGCAAAGCAAGCACTTCTGTAAGTGCTTCACTGACTGAGCCATCTCCCCAGCCTCCAGCAAGCAGTTATCGGGTGCCTTCTGTCTATTGGGAACTGATCTAGCTAGTGGCTTGGTTGCTAGGGAAGGAACCCAGGTCTTCCCTGCTGCTAAGCATGGGCTTTGCCAGTCACATCCCAGCTTGGCTGGTGGTTGAGGGGTGATCAGAAGTGTCCAGCCTCTTCTGAAGTCTCATTCTATCTGCACACCAGCCGTGCCACCTTGCTGAATATGGACCCCAAAGCCCTCGGGCGTCCAGCAAAGCAAACAGTTTCCTCCCAGCTGGTAAAGTTGATGGGTCTCCACTGTGACGATGGACAGACCCAAATGAAAGACTCGAGGATCCACTTGGCCCTTTTGCACATCCAGGGTCCTTTCAGGTTCATGGTCAAGGAAGGAAAAGTTGTCCGTTCACTGGTAGGGGTTTCCGGGCAAGATTAAGGTGTAGAGCGTGTGGAGGCTTCTCTGTGGGGCCCATCTATCCCGACACCCTTGACCGTCAGCACACACTGAACACTGAAGGCACCTGGCCTTGGTACTTCTCCTGGGCTGTCTTGAGGATAGGCACAAGATTCTGGAACGTGGGTCGGAAGGAGGCCTCTGCCTCCCAGCAGTTCTTCATGAGGAGATAGATCTCACACGGACACCTGTCAGGCCGAGGCAGCCGCTCTCCTCGCTCCAGCAGCTCCGTGAGCCTCAGCACGGTCATCTGGCCCTGGGTGACGCCGATGAGCTCCATGAATTTCTGCGGCACAATTGACAGCAACTATTGCACAAGCCACGAACCCGTGTCCCAGGTATGTGTGTGCCCGTGCATGTACATGGAGTGTGCACAGGCAAGGGGAGGCTGGAGGACGACAAAGACATCCCATTCTATCTATCCCTCTCTGTCCTAGTCCTTTGAGACAGGGATTAAAGGCGTGCGCCACCACCGCCTGGCTTTGGTGGCTTCTTGGGACCATCTCTCAGTTAACTCTTCTCTTTACCCAGCACCATGGCCCAGTTCAGTCTACTGGACATATCTAGTCCTGCTTTCTTTCCCTGCTCTGGACTCTTCCATAGGCCTCATGTTTACAATTAAAAACCTTCCCCTTGCCGGGCGGTGGTAGCCAGCCTGGTCTATAAGAGCTAGTTCCGGGACAGGCACCCTCACTTTATATATCTGGTACTGAACCCCCCCCCCTTTATCCAACCTCCATGTGTGTGCTGTGGCATGTGGGCGCACACAACAACACACAATAAACAGGTGAAAAAGAACCATTCAGAAAACTCCGCAGAAACAAAACAGCTCCCACACTGCCAGGCAATACCTTCACAATCAGGCAAGGCTGAACAGGCTAGTGGAGAGCCTGCCTGTGTTGAGGGGCTGAACTTGAAATGCCTGCTTTTCGATCTCCAAAATATATAAAGAACTCAAGAAACTAGACTGTAAAAGGCTAATCAACCCAATTACAAAATGGGGCACTGAGCTGAACAGAGAATTCTCAACAGAAGAAGTTCAAATGGCCATAAGACACTTAAGGAAATGCTCAACTTCCTTAGCGATCAGGGAAATGCAAATCAAGTCAACTTTAAGATACCATCTTACACCTTTCATAATGGCTAAAATCAAAAACACCAATGATAGCCTTTGCTGGAGAGGTTGTGGAGAAAGGGGTACCCTCATCCATTGCTGGTGGGAATGCAAACTTGTGCAACCACTTTGGAAAGCAGTGTGGCGGTTTCTCAGAAAATTCGGGATCAACCTACCCCTGGACCCAGCAATAACCACTCTTGGGAATATACCCAAGAAAGGCCTTATCATACAACAAAAATATATGCTCTACTATGTTCATAGCAGCATTGTTTGTAATAGCCAGAACCTGGAAACAACCTAGATGCCTTTCAATGGAAGAATGGATGAAGAAAGTATGGAATATATACATATTAGAGTACTACTCAGCAGTAAAAAACAAGAACTTCTTGAAGTTTGCATACAAATGGGTGGAAATAGAAAACACTATCCTGAGTGAGGTAAGCCAGACCCAAAAAGAGGAACATGGGATGTACTCACTCATATTTGGTTTCTAGCCATAAACAAAGGACATTGAGCCTATAATTAGTGATCCTAGAGAAGCTAAATAAGGAGAACCCAAAGAAAAACATATAGGCATCCTCTGGAATATTAACCTTCATCAGGCGATGAAAGGAGACAGAGACAGAGACCCACATTGGAGCACCGGACAGAAATCTCAAGGTCCAAATCAGAAGCAGAAGGAGAGAGAGCACGAGCAAGGAACTCAGGACCGCGAGGGGTGCACCCACACACTGAGACAATGGGGATGTTCTATCGGGAACTCACCAAGGCCAGCTGGCCTGGGTCTGAAAAAGCCTGGGATAAAACCGGACTCGCTGAACATAGCGGACAATGAGGACTACTGAGAACTCAAGAACAATGGCAATGGGTTTTTGTTCCTACTGCACGAACTGGCTTTGTGGGAGCCTAGGCAGTTTGGATGCTCACCTTACTAGACCTGGATGGGGGTGGGTGGTCCTTGGACTTCCCACAGGGCAGGGAACCCTGATTGCTCTTTGGGCTAACGAGGGAGGGGGACTTGATTGGGGGAGGAGGAGGGAAATGGGAGGCAGTGGCGGGGAAGAATCAGAAATCTTTAATAAATAAATAAAAATTAAAAAAAAAGAAAAAAAAAAGAAATGCCTGCTTTTCTAGAAACGTCCCCAGCAAACACAAGGGTAGAGTGTGATAGCTGTCGCTCACCGTGGGGGGGCTCTGCCTAGCGTCACAGGAGGTCAACAGCTCGTACAGGGTCACCCCGAAAGACCAGACATCTGACGCATAGTAAAATTTGCACTCCTTCAGACATTCCGGGGCATACCTGGAGACAGAGGAGGCTCAAGACTGGCTGGCTGGACCTGCAGTTCACGTCCAGTCAGAGGAGCCCTGAGAATCTAGTTGGGTTTCAGATTGAACTAAACCAAGCCAAATTGCACTGCAGGGCTTTAGTCCTGCCCCTTCCGTACCTAGGCCCCGCCCAACTTCCCTCTGCATCCCAGAGTTTCCTCCTTCTCCCCCCACTTCCCGACTGTATCCACTCCTGATCACCAGAACACCGGGCTGTCCCCGTCCTCGCGAACGCGGTAGTACTCGTGGCCTTCAGGCACTGCCTTGGCTAAGCCAAAGTCTCCAATCTTGACCAGCCTGTCATTGTCCAGAAGCACATTGCGCGCGGCTAGGTCTCGGTGAATGTAGTGTTGCCCGTGCAGGTAGGCCATGCCCTGGGGTGGGGCAGGGCGAGTCAGGCTCAGCTTCGGTCTGAGCAAGCAAAAGAAGGAGCCAGCAAGGCCAGCAAGGAGGGTGCTGTAAGGGGTGGGGTCAAGCAAAGGTGGGTGAGTTTAGGAATGTGCAAATCTCTACAAGGTTAGGAGTGGGGCTTTGGGGGCAAGTTAGGCTAGAGTGCAACTAAGAAGATGTGGGGCTCGGTGGGCGGGGCCAAGCAGAGCTGGAACGGGTCTAGAAATATTCAACCCTCTACAGGGTTTGGGATGGGGCTTGCAGATACTAGGCCAGGCAAGGTAGGCTAAATTGGTGGTGGTGTTGGGGAGGATTAGTGGGAAGAGCCAAGAAAAGGTGAGTGGGTTCAGTCATAAGGAAACTAGGGATTAGGGGTGAGGCTTATGGGGGTGTGGCCACAAAGTGAAAAGAGTCCAGTCCAAGAGCAAGCGCATTGGCAGGGATAGACCCCTTCAGGACCAACAGAAGCAGGGGTGGTCCGCTCTGGAACGAGAGAGGCGGGGCCATCCCACCTCGCAGATCTGCTGGGCGAAGAGCAGGAGCTGAGCCAGCCCAACGCTGTGCCGGGGCAGGTAGTCCCGAAGGCTGCCCAGGGGGACGTATTCCATGACCAGCTGTACAGACTTCTCTCCTGTCAGGAAGAGACCATAGGGGCCGGAAGTTGACAGAGGGTTGGAATCCCAGTATCCTGGAGCTCTGAGCACTGCACAGATCGCCCCGGGGGAGGGAGGGGAACGGGACCAAGACCCGTGTACCCCGTGTACACTAGGGCAGGTCCATGGACGAGAGGGACCCATGTAGAACCCTGTTCCTGTGCTAGGAAGGTGGGGGTGGGGTGGGGAGGCTCCTGTTCATCCTGGCCCCAGTAGGCAATACCCTCAACTAAGAAGGCTACTTAGCCACACCCCTAAGGCAACTGAGCCAGGATGGTTAGGCCCTGCACCCACACACCATGGCCTGGCACACCTTGGTCCTCACAGCAGCCTTTGTACTTGACAATATGTTCATGGTACAGGGTCCGCAGGATTTCGATCTCCCGCTGCCAGCCTGAGCGGAGCTGGGGACCACACCCCTCCTTAAGGGCTTTCACAGCCACCATCTCGCCAGTGCCGTCATTGGTTGGATCATAGCAGTACAGGCTGACCTTGCCAAAGTGACCCTGGCAGAAGTGGGCAGGACAGTCAGAACCAGGCGGTAGAGCTTGCTAGGCCCAATGAACTCCCTTCTCCCAAAACCGAGGAGTCTCCCCATCTTTCTCTTTGTTTGCTTGAGAGAATCACACTATGGAGCACAGGCTGGCTTGGAATTTGATACACAGATGCTGGCCTCAGACCCAGCGCTCCACCCGCCCCTGCCACAACGGTGAGTGGTGAAGTCCTGCCTACCATGACTGGCCCTCCAAACTGTTCTTAAACAAGACTTCCTTCAGATGCATCCCAGCCCTCCCCCTTCCTCCAGCTCTACACACCCCACCCCAACATCGCTAACCTATGCCCCAGCCATCCGCTCCCACCCAGCTCCCCAGCCTAGCTCTCACCTCGCCCAAATCCCGGATCTTTTTCAAATAACGTTTGTGGAAAACCGTGGGGTCTGATGCTGCTGAGTCTGAGTTCACAGCCGAGATACCCACTAGATCTGGAAAAGCCAAGGCCTTCAGTTAGACCCTGGTCTTTCCCAAACAGTATCACATGACTGGTCCCTGCTCGCCAGCATCCCTCTCACCTGGACACCTTTAGGTGAGTCAAAACCTGCCATGAGCTGTGCCCCCGTGCAGATTTTGGATGGGCAGTGCCTGCACCGGCAGAACTCCAGCTACACACCCAACCCCCAGGGCCCTGGCTCACTCTGTGGCTGCAGCCTGGTGAGGTCCCGCAAAATGGTGCGGAATGATGGCCGCTGTGCTGGTTCGTAGGTCAGGCACTGGCGGGTGAGTGTGGCCAGCTCCGGGCATGAGGGCTCGGGCAGCTGGTGCTGCTTTGTGTAGAATCGTTCTTTCTGTGGGGGTGATGGCCCCAGAGAGTAAGCCTCCCATTCTGCCCACACCTTCCCCAAAAGGCACAGCCAAGTGGTATGGCTGGCTCAGACCAGAACCTGGTCTTTTTTATGCCCACTTTACAGAGAAGGCAGCTGGAGCCGTAATCTTTACAGGAATCAGGGCCAAGTCCGGCTGGCTCTGCAAAGCTGGAGCAGGTCCTCCAAGCCGTTCCATCTCTCAATCTTTCCTCCCCACCCTCAGCTCAGCTCCTTTAATGCCACCAGGCCTCTGCAAAAGCTGTGTTTGGAACCAAGGTTGCACTTCCTAGCCCTGCTCATGAGCAAAAGTCTACATTTAATGAAACATTCTCTAGGAAACCTTTTCAGCCACTTTGATGAACCAAAGAACCCTTTAAGAGTCCACTGAAATCCTTAGGACATACCTCGGAGGGACGACGACCCTGCAGGGGTGCATCCCCATCAAAGCAGATCTCAAGAAGGGTGGCACCAAAACCCCACATGTCCGTGGCAGTACCCAAGCTACTGGTCTCTCCAGACAGGCACTCAGGAGCTGTCCAGGGGATGCGTTCCACCCGCTCTGGGGAGCACAGGTTAGAGATCAGTGAGGGCAGAAAGAGCAGGGGAAGGCCTCCCTATGCCCAGCTCCACTCCAGAACTCACCCTCCCTGGAGAGGGCACCTTGGCCCACGCCAGGATCACTTAACTTGATGAAGGGGCTGGTACCCTCCTCTAGCCCCAGCCGCGCCAGCAGGACGTTCCGGCCACATACATTCCCGTGAACCAAATTCTTGTCCTCCTGGGTGGCAAAGGAGGAAAAAGTGCGTGACTCCTAGGGATGGGTCCAGATTCCACCACCACCCTATCCATAAGGCTCCTCCCCACAGGGATAGTTGTGTGAAAATGACAATTGTCAAACTATTGGGATAACAATATAATGTTATCAGTACCAGGGAACACTGGGAGCTGAGTGGGTAGCCAAGGTTCTTGGCCAGGAACAAAAAGCTAGAAAGACCTCACTGTAAGTCTCCAAACACCACTGCCCCAGGGCCTTTGCACAGACTGTTTTCACATACACCCGAATATGATCTTCCCAAGACTCCCTGGCAGCAACTTTCCTCTCCTGTCAGCTCAGTCCATCGCTTTCCAATTCTGCTTCAGTCCCAACTCCTAACTGTGCCTCACGTCCACGTCAGCTCATCTGGCCCTCAATTCTGTCTGCATTGTGTGTATGTTTTGTGCTCCTGGGGGAGTATGCCTGTGGAGGTCAGAGATGGATGCTAGGTGGTGTCCTCAATTGCTCCTCGCCTTATTCTCCGAGACAGGGTCTTACACTGAGTCTGGTGCTCCCTGATTGGGTAAGCCAGCCCGTCAGTGAGATCCAGGGACCCTCCTGTCTTTGCCTCCCTGGTGCTAGGGTTACAGAATCTGACTTTTTATGTGGGTGCTGGGGATATAAATTCAAGTCCTCATGGCTGTACAGCAAGCATTCATCACCATCTTCCCAGATTCCCCCGCTCAGTTCACACTGCTTCCTAACATTATTTTGTTACTGCTCTAAGCACAGTTAGCCCTCTCTCAACACAGGACATCTTCAGACGGAGCCAAGGTTAAAAACTGAAGTTAGGTGTCAGGCATGGTAATGTAAGCTCGTCATCTCAAGAGGTGGAGGCAGGAGGATCAGGGGTTCAAAGCCAGTCTTGATTACCTAATGCATCTGGGACCAGCCTGGGCTACATGAGACGACTTGGCAGCATGTGCCTGTCTGTAACCCTGCAGCTGGGGAGGTAGAGACAGGTACACGCTGGGTTCCACAGGCTAGTTAGTTTAGTTGTATAGGTGAGTTCTGGGTTTGGTGAGTCCCTGCCTCAAGAAATAAGAACATCTTATTCTCCTTAATAAGGAAGACACCTCGGTTCTCGCCTGGGCACGCACACACTGCTTAGCAGAGGATGGCCCCGAGTCCCCAGTGCAGCACTGCACGCATCACCCCTCTTTATACAGAGCTAGGCCCGGAATCCAGGGCTTTGTCTGAGTTAGGCAAGTGCTCCACCAACTGAGCTACAGCCCAGCCCCCTTTCCCAATGCTTGCAACAGGGTGTTGTGTAGCCCAGGTTAGCCTCAAACTCACTACATAGCTGAACTCCAGATTCTCCTGCCTCAGTTCCTACACACAATGATGGCATGTCTGTGTTGCCATGCCTGGCTTCACTGCACCCCATTTTCTTTCTCCCTTTCTCTCTCTCTCTCTCCACAGGGTTTCTCTGTGTAGTTTTGGAGCCTGTCCTGGAACTCACTCTGTAGACCAGGCTGGCCTCAAACTCACAGAGATCCGCCTGCCTCTGCCTCCTGAGTGCTGGGATTAAAGGCGTGCACTACTACCACCTGAGTAGGTTTGTACCCCCTCAGGTCCACATACCAGGTAGCTGAGGGCACTGGCCAGCTGCTGAGCCACAATCATCTTCCAGGTCATAGGCACTCGGCCCCTGTGTCGCCGTAACCACACATCCAGGGGACCGTGTTCTACGAACTCTGTCACAATGATATCTGCAAAGATTCCGCTGCTGGAGGGGCAGTCACCTGCCTCTTCCTCCAGACACCAGGACAGATGTTCGGGCCGGGCTGAGTGTGCATTGTGGGTGGGGACTTTAAGAGCAGAGCAGAGGGCCAGGCAGAGGTGGAATGGGGAATCTAGACACAGAATAAGTGTCCACGCAGAGGACAAGACGGAGCACAGGAAGTGGAGAGGCGGGAGGGGGATGGGCAGAGGTGGGCAGCAGAAGGCCAGGCACAGGCTGGAAAGCAGCATCAGGGACACGCAGGAGCACTGCAGGGTCACAACTGGGGATAGGCAGGGAAGGAACGGAGGTGTCTACGCAGGGTGGGAACACAGGGTGACTGAGATCACAACAGGTCTGGGATCTGCCTGGGACCACTGTGCTGAAGGGCTCAGAGTATGGCAAAAGGAATTATGGGATGACTTCGACAGAGCCAGACATCATGGTCTGGGTCAAGGAGACTGGGCAGAGCAGGTATAGAAAGGGGTCAAGGGAAGGGGGAGGCTCAGAGTACAGTACAGGATCCAGAGGCCGCCGTGTGGTGAGGAGTGGGCACGCTGAGATGAAGACCTGATCTCAGACTACAGGAGACAGTGACAGTCAGATGGTTTGGGTGTGGCTCAGAGGCAGAGCCCTGCCTAGAATCCCCCAGTTAGGACCTGGAGTTGTGGGTCAACGATAGAGCCCCTGCTTGGAATACCATATAGTGAGGAGCTGGGGGCACTGCTTAGGGGCAGAGTGTTTACCCCACATGCCAATGGTGACAGCCTGGGTTCCATCTCCAGTACCAGCAAAAATAAAATAAAATAAAAAAAAAGGATTGGCGAGTCAGGATGTCAGGATACAGGCCAGGGAGAGGGTACAGAAGGGTGGAATTCAAACCCAGTTGAGTTTTGGGGTGAACTCACTCTCTGAGCCACGCACGCAGACACCATGCAGGAAAGCCAGGTGCATGTGTGACACCTGGCTCATGAGGCTGGCTGTTTCATAGAAGGCCTGTGGGGACAGGGCAGGTCAGTCTCCTGCAAACCCACCCCATCCTTCCCAGTCCTCCTCTCAGACACCCCAGGGCCAGCCTTGTATAATTACCAAGGCGATGTCATGGTGACTGGGGTCCAGGACTTTAAGCACCACTCGGAGCTGCTGCCCACTGCCCCCGCCAGGCTCAGGAGGGCATCCACTGTCGGTTTTGCCTTCGTCAGGGCCTCCCACTCTTAGAAGGCCCTCGTAAACATTGGTCCTCGTGCCTTGACCCAAGTGGGACAGCTGCAAGAGGGGCTACTGAATGCAGCAGTGCTGACTCGGCCCCGCCCCCTCACATGCCTTGCCACAGAGGACCCACCTGCGTGATTTCATCCTGGTGAACTCTGTGGAAGCTGAGCTGGCTGAGGTTGAGAGGCCGGGTGTGGGCACTGGACCCCCGCATGACCAAGAGGTTGGAGATTTCTAGGCACAGGAGCAGACACTGCCCTCGTGGGCTGGCTTCAGAGCACACGGTGTCAGCCCTACCTGGTGCCTCTGGCTGTCCTACTCACCTCCTGGCCGGGGCAGGCAGCAGTGGTGCAAAGGGAAGCAGTCTTCACCAGCCCGCAGCGAGCAGCCCTGCAAGGCGGTCCGAAGGTCCCCCACGCTGTCGAAGGAGCGACCCCAGCCATCTAGCACAAAGGCTCCAGGTTGCTGGGTGATGGGGAACTTTCGGAGGCGCAGACCTTTGGGGCCGCTGTTGGGAGCCTGGGAGAGTGGGAAGGAGATGTGAGCAGGGATCGGGCGGGGCTTAGGGCCCGCCTATGAAAGGTGCACCTCTCTAGCCTCCACCCTGGCTCCACACCCACTGAGTCTCGATGGGCCACAGTGAGGATCAGGCGGTGGAGGTGGCTGGTGCTCCACTGGATCAGGTAGAGGCCATCCTCCGGCCACAGCTTGGCTTGCACAAATGGATCCCTGGGAGAGGAAGAGGACGGGAACACCATCAGCCTCCTATAGTCACTGTGGAACCCAGCTAGGCAATGAACACAGAGACCTGCTCAGAGACACACACATCAGCCAGACACAAGTCAGAGACAGGAGATGTGGCAGTCAGTACATATTCTGTAACGCCAGCTCTCAGGAGGCTGAGGTCACGTGATCACTGGAAGTTCAAGTGATCTACATCAAGCCTGGGCTACATAATATGACTGTGTCTCAAGGAAAAGCAGAGGGAATGGAGACTTTGGAAGATCAGGGCTCAGATCTCGGCACCCTTGTGGGACTCTGGGAGTAGTAGCAAGCACCTGTAATCCAGCCCTGAGGCTACAGCTCAGCTAGTCTAGCCAGTCAGCAAACTCCAGTCTCAGTGAGAGACCCGGCTCAAAAACTAAAGCAGTAACAGGGCTTGCTGTTCCTGTAGGGGACCAGAGGTTCACTCTTAGCACCCACACCTCACACCACCTGTGACTCCAGCTGCAGAGAATCCCATGGGCACCACATACATGTGGCGTATACTCAGATACACATATATAAACATGAAGAATAAACAGAAAACAATGGAGAGCGACTGAGGAAGACACCCAAGGCTACCTTGGCTGCCACACAGGCAGATAAAACCTTCAGGGAGCCTGCAAGTGGATAAAGGCACTTGAAGCCTGATGACCTGAGTTTGACACCCAGGACCCACGTGGTAGAAGCAGAGAACTGACTCCTGCAGGCTGCCCTCTGACCTCCCCATATACACTAGGACATGTCTCCCTGCACATAAGTAAATGTATAAAAAAATCTCAGAACTACCGACAATAGGTGAATACATACATGTATACATACATATGACCACTGACATAGATACATGTAAGAACAGTCACCTGTGCCTAACATCAAACACAGCCACTGACAAAGTGACAGATGCTGAGACAAGAAAACAGCTGTCTGATGTTACACGGGTCACACCCAGACATGGCCACAACAGGACAGAGTTATTTCCAGTGAAGAGATAGTCATTTGGCCCCAAAACACAGATCATGGGTGCAGTTCGTCACCATGAGTCACAGAGCCATGTGGGTACACCATTTCCATGTGTTCTGTCCCCTCTGAGGCTCATGTCAGGTCCTACACCCAGTGATGACATGTCAGACATGATGGGCTGCAGAGATGGCTCAGGGGTATTTGCTGCTCTTCCAGAGGACCCAGGTTCAATTCTCAGCACCAAGAAGGGGGCTCTCACCTGTTCTGTAGCTCCCAGCCATTGTGGGCACCAGATATGCACATTGTGCAGGCAGAAAAACAAAACAAACACACACAAAAAATATACACATAAAATTAAATTACAAAAAAAAAAAAACCTTTAAAAAAAAAAGGTAGACATAAACCAGGTATGGTAACACAATCTCTAGGCCCAGGGCTGGGAGGTTGGAGGCAGGGAGACAGGGATTTCAAGGTCACCCTCGCAGAATTCAAGCCTAGTCTGGGCTTACTGAAACCCTGTCTCAAAAACAAATCAAGGGGCCAGGGAGATGGATGATTCCCAATCTCATGACCTGAATTTGTTCCCCAGCACCACGATGGAAGGAGAGGATGGACTCCGGGTTGTCAGGAGAGCACTGGTGCACGCCACCACAGCCAGGTCAATCAGAGCTTCAGCCACTAGCAAGTACTACGGCTTGCTACAGCTGAGCTACAGCCACGATCAGTGTGAGTACGGTGTGCACGCCACTCTGCCATGTCAGAGGTACCAGTCCTGGCCTTCCAGAGAGTCCTCTACCTCCCATGGCACTGTAGGAGTGCTGGGACTCCATACACAAGCCACTGAGCCACGTGTATCTAGGGTCACATGCAGACCCTCACAGGAGAAGGCAGGCACTCTATCTGCTAAGTCATTTCCCATGTCCCCTAGACAGTTTTCCTACAACTTAATTTTGAAGGCCTGAGAGATGGCTCAGATGTTAAAGGAGCTTACTGCCCTTCAAAAGGATGCAAGTTCAGTTCCTAGCACCCACACTGGGTGGCTCACAACCATCTGTAATACCAGTCCCAGGAGGATTTGATGCTCCTGGCCTCTGTGGGCACCTACACTCAAGTGTACAGACATACCACACACATAATTTAAAATAATAAAAAATATTTAAATTTAATTTTGAGCTGAGCAGTGGTGTCATATGCCTTTAATTCCAGCAGTCGGGAGGCAAACGCAGGCAGATCTCTGGGAATTCAAGACCAGCTTGGTTTATAGAGTGAGTGCCAGGACAGTCATGGCTACACAGAGAAACCCTACCTCAAAAAAAAAAAAAAAAAAAAAAAAAGAAATACAATTTAAATTTGAGATAGGCTCTCACTATGTAGCCCAAGCTGACCTGCTTGGTTTGGGCTGCACGCTACCACAGCTAACCTTTCTTCTTAAGAGTCCAGACTAAGGCATTTTATCATAGTAATGAAAAAATAAACTAGTAGAAGGGCCTTGACATCTCAGAAGTGACAACAGCAACAACAAAAATGGGGACTAAAAGGAGTCATACACAGAGGCCAGATAGTCAGACACAAACATGGTGACACTACGTGGCCCACAGCTAACTGGGCTGGCGGCAGCACCTCGGTGTAGTGGCAGCTGCATGAACACACACTAGGTAGACTATGGATGCAGCCTCTGGCACAGCCAGCCCTGACACCCTCAGGCCACCATCACTCACATCAGGGGCCCATGGATGCCATTCTGGATGCTGGTCAACAGCCGTGGGGGTGCCACCTCATGGCACAGGTAGTGGCTGGAGTCGGCGGTCAAGCGGAAATAGCCATCCACCAGGGCCACAAAGGACAGGGCTTCAGCCTGGGAACGGAGGCACAGCAACTGTGGGCCAGGGGGACATGGTCAGGGAGCCTGGCAGGACAGGCCCGAGCCACCTCCACCAGCCTGCTGCCCAGGGGCCCCACCAAGCACTTGTTGTCCTGAAGGTGGATGCGCACGAGACAGTCCTTTAGCACCACGTGGGAGATGTCCTGGAAGTCGCAGAAGTAGGTCCAGGATGGCTCCCCAGGACCTTTGGCCAGCTGCTCGGCAACCTCAGGGGCCTTGACTTTCTTTCCAGATCGGTTGCCTTGGGGATTCCCTCTGCTGTTACCTCTAGCAGATTCCTAAAAAACCAAGCCAGGGAGTCGGGGGTGGAGGTGGGGTGAGGCAGGGGACACACAGGCAAGGATAGTTTATAATTTACTGTATGTGCATTGGTGTTTTGCCTGCATGTGAGTCAGATCTTGGAGTTACAGACAGTTGTGAGCTGCCATGTAGGTGCCAGGAATTGAGCAGTCAGTGCTCTTAACCACTGAGCCGTCTCTCCAGCCCTGGCAAGGTTAGCTTAATTTCTCCTCAAAGGACAGAAGGAAGCTGGACTTAAGCTCCTAACTCCAAAAGTCAGAAAGTTGCAGGAAAATCTACATGACTTCAAGTCCAGCCTGGGCTACACAGTTGAGCTCTGGGTCAGCTGGAATCACAGTACATAAGACACTTACTCAAAAAATAAAAACAAGCTGAGCAGTGGTTGCACATGCCTCTACTCTCAGCACTCAGAAGGCAAAGGCAGGCAGATCTATGAGTTCAAAGCCAGCCTAGTCTACAGAATGAGTTCCAGGACAGCCAGGACTACACAAAGAACCCTTTTCCAAAAAACAAAACAAAACAAAAATAAATAAAAATAAACTCTCAAGGGTCAGGAAGATGTCTCAGCGGGCAAAAGTGCTTGCTTCCAAACCTGATGGCTGGAGTCTGATTCCCAGAGAGAAACCCACTTCCCCAAGAGATCACCTGACCTCTATGTGCACACCCTGCCCTGCCATGCCTCCACGGTCAGCTACCCTGAGGAGCCCACAGCTGAGTGCTCACCTGGATCTGTACTGGACGCCACTGGATACCTCTGGTGCCTGTCACCAGTACCTCGTGGGTGGGAAGCCTGGTGGCCAGCTCTGGGCCTGGGTCCCCAGTAGTCTGCCCACTGTTCTGAATGTAGCAGGGGTCCCTCTCAGGCTGGTCCAGCACCTCCAGATGACACACCGGTATGTGTTCTGAGCCAAATCGAGGAGCCAGCCGCTCCAGGGTGGCCAAGTACTTAACCATCACAACCTGCTGGGAGAGGTGGCCAGGCCGAAAGGCCCGCAGGAATCGCCGGAAGACTCTGCGGAGACGCAGGCGCGTGAGCGCATTGTGTTGACGGATGTGCTGGCGGAAGGAACGAGGGATGCAGTTCTTAAAGCTGAAAGAGGACACAGGGGACATGTCAGAGCCTGGGTAGCCAAAGGCTGGGTGACATGGGGTTAGTGGCTGAACCTCTCTGCTGCCTCATGTAGACAGCAGGCCTATGTCATGAACGCAGGAATAAAGACTCCAATCCCAGCACTATACAGTGAAATTCTGTCTCAACAGTTTTTATTTTTATTTCTCATGTGTGTGTGTGTGTCCCCACAATAGTCGGAAGAGGGTGTCAGATTCCTTGGAACTGGAGAGTGGGTATGAGGCTCCATGTGGGTGCTGGAAACTGAACTCTGGTCCCCTGCAGGAGCAGCCAGGAGCACTCAGCCATCTTTCCAGCTCCTTACCTTACCTTTTATAGTAGCCCAGGCTGGCTTGGAACTCACTGTGTAGCCCAGGTTGACCTCAAACTTGAAGTAATCTTCCTGGATCTACCTCCAGAGTCCAAGAATAATATGCATACCACCATATCTGGCCCTATTTTTTAAAATTTATTTATTTGTATTTTATGTGCATTGGTGTTTTGCCTGCATATGTCTGTGTGAGGGCATTGGAACCCCTGGGACATGAGTTATAGACAGTTGTGAGCTGCCATGTGGGTGCTGGGAATTGAAGTGTGGGTGCAGGTCCTCCGGAAGAGCAGCCAGTGCTCCTCCTAACTGCTGAGCCATCTCTCCAGTCCCTGACCCTAACTGTTTGTCTTGTAGTTCTTCTGTCTCAGCGCATTGGTGACTATGGCTACAGATCTGTGTGCCATGTACCTGGCCAGAGAAAGGGCCTTCTGAGCTTCCAGAAACTGCCTTCCAGAAGTCTATAATCTGTACCCACAGGGAACCCCACTTCTAAAGGCTGGGCTTTTATAGGGTTCTTTCTTTTCTTTTTGAGACAGGGTCTCTATGTAGCCCTGGCTGTTCTGGAACTCATTATATACAGTAGGTTGTATATAATGCACAGAGGTCCTCCTGCCTCTGCCTCCAGAGGACTGGGATTAAATGTGTGTTCCACTATACTCAGCCTGAAGTAATGTCTTCAAAAACAGAGTAGGCTGGGGAGTGGTGGTATACTCCTTTAATCCCAGTATTCAGGAAGCAGAAGCAGGAGGATCTCTGAGTTTGAGGCCAGCCTGGTCTACACAGAGCAAGTTACAGGACAGTCAGGGCTACACAGAGAAACCCTGTCTCAAAAAAGCTAACAATAACAATAAAAAAAGTAAATAGCCAAACAGTCAAGCACATGGAGGCAGAAACAGGCGGGTCTCTGAGTTCATGGCCAGCCCGGTCTATGGAGTGAGTTTCAAGACAGCCAAGGCTACACAGAGATACCCTGTCTCAGAAAAAAAAGGGGAAAAAAAGAAAAACAAAGTAAATAAACAAACAACATAAATAATTAATGTATACTCTCTGAGTCCACTCAATTTTTCTACAATTTTTTTTTTTTTTTTTTTTTTTTGAGACAGGGTTTCTCTGTGGCTTTGGAGCCTGTCCTGGCACTAGCTCTGTAGACCAGGCTGGTCTCGAACTCACTCAATTCTTCTACATTTCATGTTTGTATTTCTTTTTTTTTTTTAAGACTGTATTATTTGCCAGGTGGTGGTGATGCACACCTTTAATCCCAGCACTTGGGAGGCAGAGACACGCGTATCTCTGTGAGTTCGAGACCCAGCCTGGTCTACAGAACGAGTTTCAGGACAGGCTCCAAAGCTACAGAAAAACCCTGTCTCAAAAATAAATAAATAAATACTATATTATTTTTTATGTGCATGCTGTGTGTGTGCCTGTGCATGCCAGTGAAAGCCAAAAGAGGGTTTGGGGTCCCTTGGGGTTGGAGTTATAGACCATTGTGGGTCACCCAGTGAAAGTGCTGGCAACTGAACTCAGGTCCTCTGCAGAGTCAGTGTTTGCATTTCCTTTAGTACCCAATCTGCTTTACCAGATGTGAGCTCCCAGAGGTGGCCCTGTGTGAGTCCACAGCTGTCGATCAGTGTTTGCTGGATAAACCAAGGCAACTGAAAGGTCCACCCTGGTGCCCTGGGCGTGGGGGGGCTACAGCCACTTACTCCACTGCCACTCACCTGATCTCTCTGGCCATCTCCTCCAGGGGGACACCGCGGCAGAGAGCAAGGTGGCAGAGGTGCAGAAAGGCCATGCCCAAGCTCTCATTCTTAAAGTGATGGATCTCTTCCTCACTAGACAGGTCCCGCAGAGACACCACATCATTCATGAACTCATGTTTTCCCTGAGGGGTAGAGGGGCGCACAGGAAAGGGGAGGGAAGGTATTTGCTTTATTGCCAACAAACTCTAACTCCCTGCTTCTAGCACCTTGTGGGGAAGGGAGAGACAAGTATTTTCCTAGAAAGAGCAAATGCACTCACAGAAACACCCTGTGCACCGCCTCCTCATGATTTGGAGACCGTGTCAGACATTACTAATCACACGGAGCACTCATTCACTCCAACTTCTTTTGGTAAAGACAGCTAAAAGACCCCAGCTAGTATGGGCTGAATCGTATTAGCTGCAGTGGAGTGGGAAGGGGAAAGGAGTCCTTTCCGTCCCTGCTCATACCTGCTCAAAGAGGTATTCAAATGAGGCAGAGTCCAAGAGCTGCACACCCTGCTCTGACCCCGGGGAACCACTTCGGTACACAGCTGGCTCTTGGGGACTCATGCCGTGCCAGTTCCGGAAGTAAAACCTACAAGAAGGGAAGGAGAAACAGAGCTAGGCAGGAGGCTTGATGGGTAATTAACGTTGTGTTCCACCTGAGAGACTGGCGTGGTGGATGTCCTGCACTTCCCTCTACACCTGTGCTGCGGCACTCATGAACACACACACCTTCCAAGAGACCTTCACTTACCTCATTCGGAAATACAGCCGTAGGCTCACATCTCGGGATGTGTCTAGGACGTGGTTTGGGGGCAGCCAGACCTTGGCCTGTGCATCATAGAGGGCAAAGAGATTCAGGCAGGGTGGAGTGATGCCTGGAAGACGGAAGACGGAAGGGATGAAGTCAGAAGCCCCATCAGCTGCAGACCTTAGCTCTGAGGACGCTGCAACCCACTAACTCCTGTCATATACTCTTCCCACGCCTCTCCTGTCTGTGACTTATCAAATACTGAAAGACACACAAGGCAGTTCAGAATTTCCACCATATCAATGCTTCTCAGAACTACGTTTCCCAGATTCCTTTGCAGCTAAGATAGGAACACTGGACTAAGTGGCCTGTGATTCCAGAACTCTGGAGGCTAAGGCAGAACAGAAGTCATTATCTGCTACATATAAGTTGGAGGTCAGCCAGAGCTACATGAACCCATCTCAAAAACAAAACAAAACACGTGGCACATCCCACACGGAAGGCAGAGGCAGGTGAATCTCTGTGAGTTCCAGTTCAGTCTGGGCTACAGAGTAAGCTTCAGGACAGCCAGGGCTCCACAGAGAGACCCTGTCTCAGCATACACTTAACACACAAACAAATAAACAACAAGAACAAAGGTTTCAGCCTGTCAGATAAACACAAATTGCCCTCCAAAGTTATTACACTTAACTTCACTACAGGTTTGATAAGATAAGGTACCTCGCTTGTGAAACAGCTTTTTTGTTTTGTTTTGTTTTGTTTTGTTTGTTTGTTTTGTTTCTGTCCTGGAACTAGCTCTTGTAGACCAGGCTGGTCTCGAACTCACAGAGATCTGCCTGTCTCTGCCTCCCGCTGGCTAGGATTAAAGGCGTGTGCCACCATGCTTTTTTATTTTTTTTTATTTTTATTTTTTATTTTTTTGCCACCACGCTTTCTAACACGCCAACTGCTTTACTCTCTGCCTCAACCATTCCACGACTCCCTATTACTGTCCACTGAGAAATCCCAACCCTTTCAGTGCTGAGTGAACAGGACCTGGCTTCTTTCTCTGATGCTTGATTTGAGATGGGCCTCACAGAGCCCAGGGTGGTCTCTAAGTCCATATGTAGCTGAGGCTAGCCTTGAATTTTTTTCTGTGCTTCCTGCCTCCACTTCCCAGAGTACCAGGATGACAGATTTGCACCACTGAGCCTGGCTCAGCGGTGCTGGGGGTGGAAGCTAGATGGAAGCTGTGTGTGCTGGGGGAGTGTTCAACCAGGGGGAGTGCCAACTTCAGCCCTAAGCCTCAACTTTTACTTCCTTTTCCCAGTTCTTAGAGCTGCACCCCACTCAGCCTGAAGGTCTTTTGGTTCCTCAAACAGGGTGGTACCCTGGACCTGTGTGGAGGCCATTTTCTCCAGAGAGTCGGCAGTGAGAGATGTCGTCAGATTGCCAGCACACTCCCTGTGACGGTCTGAACATGTCCTACATTCACAAGCTGGAATCTTAATCAACACAGCTTGTGTTAATGGAATTCAGGGCAGAACTTTGGACGTGTGACTACTCTAAACGAGGTTGGGGGCGGGACTAATGACAGCTTTAATGCCTCTATTTGGCAGATACAGAGGATAGAAATTAGAACTTTGCACAAACTGGGCAGGTTCCACTGAGCCACACCCTAACGTCTCACTGGGGGATTCTGGGAAGGGGTTATAACACTGGGTCACATGCCAGCCCCTCACTGGGGGCTTTTTTTTTTTTTTGAAAGATTTATTTATTTTTATGTGCATTGGTGTTTTGCCTTGTATGTCCATGTGAGGGTCCCAGATACCCTGGAACTGGAGTTACAGACAGTTGTGAGCGTCCATGTGGGTGCTGAGAGTTGAACCCGGGTTCTCTGGGAGAGCAGTCAGTGCTCTCCAGCACTAAGATGAGCGTTTCTAGGCAAGAGCTCCACCACTGGGCCTCACACATATTTTGAGACAGGGTCTTCTTGTGTAGTTAGTTTGGCCTGGAACTTGTGATCCTCCTGCCTCAGCTTCCCAAGTCTGGGATCACAGACACCCCCGGCTCAGCGGCGTTTTCCTTCCTTGCCCTCTAGAATAAGAGCCCCCCACTGGCCCCAACTTAGGCTGGCACTCAGACTCACTCTTCTTTGTCCAATGAGTATGAACCACACCACCAGCTGCTCCTCCCCAGTCTCCACACTCACCGACTTTGTGTGCAATCTGGATGCAGATGTCCTCGGCAGTCAGAGACCTCTGGCTGAAGGTGACCCAAGGCTCCCCGCCCTCCGGCCCAGCCCAGTGCAGCAGCACCATCAAGCTTTCTGTGGGTACCAGGGGCTGAGCTTCAGTGCCATCTGCCCTGCTGTCTTCCGACATGGCTCTCCGCCCACACAGTGGCATAGCTGCCACCATTCACTGCTGGTTAAAGACAGGCCATTAGATTCGGGCCACAGCCCAGAGGACTCTTAACTCCTCAGCCTCCCACGCACCCAGGCTGAAGTCCAAAGGAAAGAGCGGGGGTCTTGCCCTCCCTCAGCCTCAATACATACAGTTGTTTGCAGGCAGGAATGCTGAGTGACTTGATGCTGCCAGCTTTAATGGTAGCAAAGCCATCTTATAGTTTTGTTTAATTTTGTGTATTTAGACAGTCTCATGTAGTCCAGGCTCTCCTCCAACTTAATACTGTACTTTTTCTTAAAGATCTGTGCCGTATGTGTGTGTGTGGGGCCCACGGGTGTGGGTACCCACGGGTGTGGGTGCCAGAGAAGACATCTCCCATTGAACTGGAGTTCCAGGCAGCCATGAGCCACTCGATGTGGGTGCTGGGAACCGAACTCCAGCTCAGCCCCTGAACCTAACCATATAACTAGGCCCCATTTGTGTTCTTTTTAAACAATTCTCACTCGGGAGGCAGAGGCGCGATCTGGGTTCAAGACCATCTGGTCTACAGGGCGAGTGCCAGGCTAGCCAGGCCTACACAGAGAAGCCCTGCCCCAAAACAAACGAACAAAAAGCAATTCTCAGGCAACTCAGGCTGGCCTCAAATTTACTAAGTAAACAAGGATGTTCTTGAAGTCTGATCCTAATGTTTGAATCTCAAATGCTGGGATTACAGTTGTTCAACTGCGTCTTTGGCTTTTTAATGTACCTTTTAAAAATTAATTAATTAATTAATTTTTTAAAAATTATTTATTTATTATGTATACAATATTCTGTCTACAGGTATGCCTGCAGGCCAGAAGAGGGCACCAGACCCCATTATAGATGGTTGTGAGCCACCATGTGGTTGCTGGGAATTGAACTCAGGACCTTTGGAAGAGCAGGCAATGCTCTTAACCTCTGAGCCATCTCTCCAGCCTAATTAATTAATTTTTGAGGCAGGGTTACACTGTGTAGCTCTGGTGGTGGCCTGGAACTCACAGAGTTCTGCTTACTTCTGCCTCCAGAGTCTGGCCTGTGTGTCAGCCCAGAATATTAGCGCATGCCTTGAATCTCAGCACTTAGGAAGCAGAGGCAGGCAGATCTCTGTGAGTTCGAGGCTACAGAGATAGTTCCAGGACAGTTAGGGAACTACACAGAGAAGTCCTGTCTCTAAAAACCAAAAATGAATAAACCAATAAACAACAACAAAATAAGAACTTTTGTCACCTACCACCCACGAAGTAGTTATCTAGTTTGAAACAAGAGCTCATTTTGCTTTTCCCAGACTGCTCTTCAATCCCTACATTCAAGCTATCCACCTGCTTCAGCCTTCCAAGTAACCGGGACTACAGGTGTACTGAGTGCCAGCAGACCAACCCCTCCTGTCTTGTGTTTGGGAGGGCAGAGGTTCACAAGTTCTGCCTACAGCTGCTGGGGCCTCTTCCTTCAAAGCTCCTGACTGCCAGAACCGCAAACACGAGTCACCACAGTCCGCTTTCTCCTTCAGTAATCTTATGGCAGTGTGAACAACCACTCTGAGGTGCACGAGGAGGGGAGCATTTGCCCGCTACCCCAGTACTTCAGAGGGATCAAAGTCAGGCTCACATACCTAAGGTAGTGGAGGCCAGTCAGGGATACATAAGATTCTGTCTTCACGTAAACAGATAGTTGCCTGGGAGATGGTTCAGTGGGCAAAGGCACCTGCCTCCAAGTCTGGAGACCTGAGCTGTACCCCTGGCCCCCACATGATGGAAGGAGACAAGTGGCTCCTAAAATTGTCCTCTGGGCTACACCAGTGCTCTACATACCCTTATAAAAACAGCATAACAGGGCTGGAGAGATGGCTCAGTGCTGGAGCACTGACTGCTCTTCCCGAGCACCCAGGTTCAATTCCCAGCACCCATGTGATAGCTCACAACTCTCTGTAACTCTAGTTCCAGGGGACCTGACACCTTTACACAGATATACACGCAGGCAAAACACCAATGCACATAAAATAAAAATTAAGAACATAAAAATACCATAAGAATACTAAATAAAAATAAAATAGGGGTGGTGGTGGTGCACGCGCCTAATTGGAGCACTCGGGAGGCAGAAACAGGTGGTTCTCTGTGAGCTTAAGGCCATCCTGATCTACAGCATGAGTTCCAGAACAGGCTCCAAAGCTACAGAGAAACCCTGTCTTGAAACAAAACAAAACAAAACANCTACAGAGAAACCCTGTCTTGAAACAAAACAAAACAAAACACCAAAACCAAAACAAACAAACAAAAAAATCTTTTTTTTTTTTTTTAAAAAGAAGCCATTTTGCCAGGTGGTGGTGGACACCTTTAATCCCAGCACTCGGGAGGCAGAGGCAGGTAGATCTCTGTGAGTTTTAGAACAGCCTGGTCTACAAAGCTAGTTCCAGGACAGGCCCCAAAAGCTACACAGAGAAACCCTGTCTCAAAAGATCAAAAATAAATAAATAAATAATGAAATAAAATAAAACCAGGCAGTGGTGGCACATGCCTTTAATCCCAGCACTTGGGAGGCAGAGGCAGGTGGATCTCTGTGAGTTTGAGATCAGCTTGGTCTACAGAGTGAGTTCCAGGACAGCTAGGGCTACAATGAGAAACCCTGTTTCAAAAAAACAAAATGGAAAAAAAAGTAATAAAAATAAATTTAAGCCAAGCACATTAGTGCATGCCTTTAGCCCCAGAACTCTGTAAGTTTGAAGCCAGCTTGATCTAAGTAGTTTCAAGCTAGTGAGATGCTGTCTCAATCAGTCAATCAATCAATCAATGAGTTTCTGCTCTGAACAAAGTTTCCAGAAGGTAGGAGGGCTTGATGCAACAAACCTGATGGTGTGTCTAGGAACTTTTGTATGACCTCAGGCAATGCACTTAACCTCTCTGGTACTCCATTTCCCTGTGTAAAGCAGAGATGCTGAGACCGTTGCTATAAAAAGATTTTCCAACCTGGTTCTGCATGGTACTGGGCCAACAGGAACCTGAACTAGGCAGGAAAAACAACCACCAAATATGACCCAAAGAGACTGCACTGGGGTGGAGGAGCGGCCAGCAGGGGCAGAGCAGCAGGCATCCTCCCTGCTCTATGCCCGCCCAGGCTTCATCCCCAATACCACCAAAAAAGCACTACTGAACCACGGGGCTCAGCTGGAAAACCTGGGTCCAACCCTTCAACTCACAGCGTGGAAGAAGAGCACCAACTGCGCTGAGCTGTCCTATGGCATGCATGCACACACAAACACAGTTAATGACATGTGACTTAGCCAAATCCAAACAAGCTTCACCATCTCGACTTTTCTTTCCATGCTCGAGATCCACCCCAATAGGTGACCAGGGCTGCTCTCACTCCCCATGGGGGGATGCTCACCTGGGAGGCCACATTTCAGGGACAAGGTTCCACAATTTAAAAAACAATTCTGTGAGCATGGTGCATGTGTGTGTATGTATAGGCATATATGTACATGGTATATGTGTGTGCATGGTATGCATGTTGTGTGCATGTGTGCAGGCATATGTGTATCTGGCATAAACATGTATGTACATGAAGCATAAGTGTGCACTAATAGTGTATGGGTATATGAAGGTATACGAGTGTGTATGTGCATGGTATATGTATATGTGTGTATGGTGTTATGGATGTGTGCATAGTGTATGCAGGGATATATGTGCATGGTATATGCGTGTGTGTACATGCATAATGTATGCATATATGTACATGCATAATGTATGCATGTGTGTGCACTTAAGTGTGAAAGTCTGCTCCCTGTATGCACACATGGAGGCCAGAAGTGTATATCAGGTCCTTCCTCTATTACTTTCCACCTTAGTTTTTAAAATGCGTGTGAACATTTTGCATGTATGTCTGTGCTCTACCTCATATGTGCCTGGTGCTGACGGAGGCTAGAAGAGGGTATCGGATCCCCTAGAACTGGAGGTATACATATGGTTGTGAGCTGCCATGTGGGTGCTGGGAACCAAGTCTGAGTCTTCCTAAAGATCAGCCAATATTCTTAACCCTGAGACATCTCTCCTACCCCTTCACCTTGTTTACTGAGACAGGGTCTTACTAAACCTAGGGTCACTGTTTTGGAAGCCCCTAGGACCTTCTTGTTTCTATCCCCTCGTGTTGGGGTGACATGTGACGGTTGCCACACTCCACTTTATGTAAGTCCTGGGAGTCAAACTCGGATCCTTCTGCTTGCAGGCACTTTACCAACGGAGGGAATATTCATTCACCCTTTATTTTATATTGGTCTCTGTAGCCCAGGCTATCTTAGAACTCACCCTGTAGCTCACACCGTCCTCCAACTCATGGTGATCCTTCTGCCTCAGTCTTCTAAGTACAGCATTTTATTATATATATGTACATATACACATGTGTACATTTTTTGAGGCAGCATTTTACTATATAGCCTAGGCTAGCCTAGAGCTCACAGAAATCCCCTTCTCTGCCTCTGTTGAGATCGCAGGCATACGTACGCCAGCACACCCGGCCTTGAGCCCACCAGCCTTAATGATTACCGTGTTAGAGCCCTGAAAGTCGGATCTGCCGGTACTTGTCTCCTCTCCGGGCCAGTTTCCACACGCGGTAGGAGAGTAACCAGTGGCTACTTCAAAGGCTCAGTGGAAAGTGTCTGGCAAACAGTAAACGTTTAATAAATGTTACCATAATCTATTCACGTTCAAAACACCATCCCGGGGACTGGGGCCTTTGGGAGAGCTCACTTCCTCCTTCCCGGTTCCCAAAGATCCCGGCCCAGCTTTGAAGACGAATATAGGGTCTGTACTTGCAGAAGCTGCATCTGTCCCCACCCATCGCCCGAAAACCTGCCGACCCGTCTGGCTCAGGCAATAACTGCACTGTGCACTCTCCAGGAAACCGACAAGTACGGAGACAGCGGGTGCTCCTGGTCCAACTCCGGGGAAGTGCTAGTGCTGGCAAGGCCCCCGCCTCCTCCCGCCTGCGTCCCAGGGGCGGAGGGGAGCCCCTCCGCACTCACCCTTTGCAGGGTACTCAGGCTCGGACCCTGGACCCCGCCCCACTGCCGCGGGGAGCAGCTGCAAATCCACAACCGACGCGCCGCGGGCCATTGGCCGCCTGAATCGCGCATGTCCTTTGGCCGCAGTCCGGCCCACTAGGCCTATGATCCTACGTTCCTATTGGCCATTGTACAAGGATGGCCTCGCTCTGAATGGTCGTAGTGGTGGAACCTCCTAGTCATGATTTGTTGGAGCGGCAAGCGGAACCGCTGAGGCCTCTGCGATTGGATGTGCGAGATGAGGGCGGAAACGAAGGGCAGGACGGCAGGGCCGGGCGGAAGAGTGAGGTCTGTGGGCAAAGGGCCTGGAAGCCTTAAGTTTCTGCAGGCACACACCTGCACTCGGAGCCTGCAGGCACCCAGACTTGAAGCTCCTGGTCTCATGTAGCCCAAGTACCCCCCTCCTCACAAGCCTTCCTTGAACAGTATTTGGTGAAAAGACTCAGGCTGCGGCTCAGCTGGTAGCGTTTGCAAGGATGCACGATGTTCTGAGCTCCATCCCCAGCACCATGCCTGCAGTCTCATTTGAGTGGCAGAGGAAGGGTCAGAAATCCAACATCTTGTGGGGTGGGGTAGGTGGAGAATAATTTAGACAGTAGGAGACCAAGTTTTCGTTTTGTTGAGACACTGTTTCTCCGCGTAGCCCTGGCTGTCCTTGAACTCAGATTTACCTGGCTTTGCCTCTGGAACGCTGGGATTAAAAGCCTGTGCCGCCACCACCCAGCCAGAGACACAGTTTTACAAAACAGTGAGAAAAAGTTACTCCTCAATACTCTTCTCCATGAGACCCCACTTTGACGATGGTCCTGTCCTTGGTCTGTCCAGCCCCATATTAGCCAAGAAACCTACTAAATCATATCCCAACCCTTGATCCCTGACCAAGTCTCCTCACTTCTGACATGGGCCTGTGTCCTTCTCTCTAGGAAGGTCTGGCTCAGTGCCAAGAGTGCTTGCCGCTTTTCCAGGTGACCCAGGTTCCGTACTCACAGCTTACACAGCAGCTCACAACCATCCATAACTCCAGTTCCAGTGGATCGATACCTTCTTCTGACCTCCGCAGGCACCAAGCACAAACGTGGTACACAGATATATATA